TTAATCAGGTTCTCGTAACATCCCTTGTCAATCCTGAAAATATACACCGGGCTTACATTATTTAACATACCATCACAATGTTTATACTCCTTGGAAGAGGTTCAAATGCATTATTTAAGACAATCGTTGCCTTGCACTAGGATTTTTCTCCTGTATCGTCGTTGCGTTTACATACATACAATTTTACATGCCTATGACACCCAAACTCGAAACAGTAATTTATGGATCACACAAAGAGTTGTTCCGTGCAGTGTTACCTCAATTATTTAGTCATATCAGTCATAATACCTTCATGACATAATTATTGTCATATTTCCAGATTCTGTACTATAAAAGAAAATATAAAATTCCAAAAAAAAAACAAAATTAACGAATACAATGGACTAGCAACTTCGACGAACCAAGTTAAATACAAAAAATACTTACATTATAAAAGCAGTGGTTATGCACGTCTATTTAGGTAAAGCCTCGTTTACCACAAATTAAAATGGCGTCGCAACCCACTTTATACCAGGTGCAGAGCCGAACTGGATTTGATATCAGGGTAGCATTTATCAACCGGGATCCTGCATGCTCGGGTCCCTTCTGGGTGCTTGAAACCAATCTCAATGTCAATGAAATTTCAATCCAATAAAATCTCAATAATTATCCAATGTCAAAACTATACAACCCCTATCGTAGCTGCTAAAGTAGCATTTAGAGTACGGAATATAAAACCAAACTCAATACCATTTAGTTCATGAAATATCCACGCAATACGGATGCAAAAGGCGCTAGTGTTACAACTCAAGAGAACGAAATTTCACAATGTCAATGTCGATCGATCGGAATGGATTCAAGAGTAAGCACCCTGGTCTGAATAGATGGTTACGTTTTGCTGCAATAATGTACGAACACGTATCAACACTTCGTAAAATTCCAAAAAAACAAAATTAACCAATCCACAAATTAATGTGATGGGTGTGTTGCGAATGCCTTGCATTTATAAGTATACCCACCCATAGCACAGAAAAGAAAGTACTACTAGTAGTGTAACAAAACTTAAAAAAGAGCATTAAGTTTGTAAGTGAAAAAACACACTTATACTTTTCTTTAAACTCAACCAAAGCGTCCTCAGCTAACGCTACCTATGCGCATTTATCTCAATGCGGCCCTGGAAGAATAAAGCTGTTTGTTGTCATTTTAAATTGTCGGATAAAATAAAGTATCAACGCTTACGTCAGCATTTCTACGTCGACTTTGACAACGGACAATGACGTCATTAAGATGACGAAACACGTACAGACATTTTTATTTCCGTCAAAAATGGCACTTTTTTAATTTGCTTTAATTTGTTTTGTACTTAAACATTTTATTTTATTGTGTTGTTCGTAGTGCCTATGTTTCTTTTTTATTTTACTTAGTTACGGCTCGAAGTGAATGACGAGTAACGAAGTCTTGGGTTCAAACTCTAAATCAAGTAATCTCATAGTTTAGATTTTCGTTAATCTCTAGTTTTCCTGCGTGACAATGTTCTAATAAGATAATTTCGTTGTTACAGACAGAATGGGAGTGATGGCGCGGTATCTTTGTACAAATATACACTGACAAGAATGGGACACTTCCATAGACCACCTTCCTTGCACATCACTTTCTCCCAGGTCAGTATTATTTTACCTTACTTATGCTCCTTAAATTTTAAGGAACTCCAAAGCTATAAAAGGTTCTCTTAACAATATCCTGGCTTTCACCAACCTATAAGTGACGCATAGAGATAAAATTTAGGGGTTGATTTGGATACTTCCTTGCGCTAAGTAACTCTTAGTTGAGAAACGATTTAGCGGTGGTTGGTAAAAACGGCCATTAGTCAAACTGAGCACAGAAATGTCTATGATTATGTTGGCAACTGGCAAAACTTTACTTCACTGATTAATACTCAAACCTTCTCCGCATGAGAAGAGGCCTTTGGTCAGCAGTAGCCACTTCTTGGCTGTTGATAATGATGATAATTCTCCACTGTCAATTCTTTCTGTCTGAACTTAGGGTGATGACGAAAAAAGCGACAGTGACTCCGCTTAACGTATGAATCTATTAAAAACCCAGAGCCGGAGTCAGGCCGTAAGCGAAAAACAATGAATTCACACAATAACTTTTATGTTAATCTAAAAAGAAACCAAATAAATCATACTTATTTCATACTACCTAGTCGGTTTATCCTCCGTACATGTGAAATAAATAGAAAAAAAAGGATTTTTCAAATTTATTTTCGACCACCTCTCCTCGCTCCATATTTTGTTTCGTTGGCGTTGTTCGAACGAAATCGGATCCACGGACCATTGGGAAATGCAAAAAAAAAGTAAAATGTTTTCGGTCATGCGCTGAGCATGTCGTTTTAATTATTTTTTGTGTGTTTTGATTTTATTAACTTATTAGGTAATGGTTTGACTGTTTTGTTGGCTTTGTAAACAAAGCACTGTCTTGTTGATTCAATACTCGCTCATATGATCTCTTACATTTGCTACCCGGATCAAATCGATCAGATTAGCTACTAATGCGACTACCAAAATTAATCGTAATAAAACAAACATTCTGAAAACTACACTAAACATCCTGTATACCTTGAAAATGACGCAATGGAGTATGTAGACACATTTATCTATTTAGGCAATCAAATTTTGTTTAAAGTAAAAAATGAATACGGAATCGATTGAAGAGTTACGAATGCGTGGAAAAAATTATGGCATTGATATGCCAATTCTAATCAAACAAATGATTTTTTATAGCATAAGCCGGTAAACGAACAGACGGATCACCTGATGGTAAGCAATCGGCGCCGCCCATGGACATTTGAAACACCAAGGCGTTACAAGTGCGTTACCGGCCTTTTGGAAATTGGGAATTTGAGGATTGTGGGGGATTCGGGGATTAGGGAATTGGGCCTCCGGTAACCTCACTCACTCCACGTCGGTTTTCTGTGAGGCCGTGGTATCATTCCGGTCGAGCCGGCCCATTCGTGCCGAAGCATGGCTCTCCCACACTTAGATTATTGACTCCTGCATATTACCAAACAATATCGATTCATATTTGTAAAGGTAACCAAAATTAACTTAGTATATATTCCCATTTTGGGGACAAACATACTTTATGGTGACCGGGCGCTAGCAACAGTAAAAAGGTTAAAAACAAAGAAAAATAAATGAAATTTGACTTGCAAAGAAAATGTCATTTAAAAAACTCGCGACATATAATAATAACAATATGTTTACATTAAATTTATTTAACAATGTCGATAGATGGTAGGGTGAGACTTTGAATTAGATGTATGTGTTATTTATCTTGGATAATCCCATATTCCTCTACATCATATGAGTAACTTACATTCCGGTTTTATCATCAAGCAGAACACGTCCACTGTTAACCAAAGGTCTTCTGCAAGGGTTGGCCTTGATCCCCACGATTGGCAGGCGAATAAAAGATTGCAGTTAAGTCACCGAATATGCCAATAATGTTTTATTCGGCGACAAGACGCATTGCAAGGGAGTGCATGTATCCCTGTGCGGTCATAAGGAAATTGAAGAAAGTTATATTGAAAGGTAACCTGAGTTTTTGGAGGTATATAATGTGGCAATATTATTATTATTACGTGAACACATTATGTTTCTTAAATGTACGCTAAATAAAAACGTTGCATTGACTTATTTTGGGCTCGCTGGTATCATTGTTGTAAGTCCCCTCTTTGAAGAGTGGCTTGAGAGACGCTGCGGCGTCCTCATCTACCACCTGACGCAGGTGTTTACTGGACACGGAAGTATCGGGAGGTACTTGTTTCGGATTTTGTGGTAGGAAACGCCCGAATTTCATCATGCTAGGACCATACGGTGGAGCATACGGTGGCGGTGTGCCCTACTTGGCCTGAGCACTCCTGTCTGCTCAGGGAAGTGATCGGTTTGCTAGACCCTAATCAATAATAAACGGGGTAAAAGCTAAATAAAATAGTTTAACAATAGTAATAAAACCATCGTTTAAAAAGAATAAAGTGTAGATACGTTCGAGGTATAAAAAATAGCAAAAAATCTTTTTCACGGGCAAGTGGACCGATTTCAAGCGTATCAGATTTGCCACGATAAATCCGGATTCCGTTAAAAAATGGCTACCAGAACCCTTTTCCGGGGAGTTGCGCGTGTGTGAAAAATGTATCATAGCGGTATCCAAACTCTTTGGATTCTGGCCACAGTACCCGTGCTGTGACGTGCGTCGTATGTCATACTTCTTTTGTCCGCAGTTTATTGTTACACGTTTTGATCATGACGTAGTTTTTGTAAAATTACTAAATTCATTAATGTTTAACGTGTCCCAAAGCCGTTTCCTTGGATCCTGACCAACCACAGTCCGTCTACAGTATCTATTACGTCATCCGATAGATGTCGCTACCTGCTGTTCTCAGGTAAACTAAGTGAATACACAACCCGTCCCTGTGAGACTTGTGCCGGAATATTCAAACGCTACTCAATTTTAAGTCGCGCTTAAGTATAGTTCTGTCTCTACAAATTCTTTGTAAAATGACAGAGATGGCATGATATTTAAGCACGACTTAAAATTGAGTAACGTTTCAGTATTCCAGCAATAGCAAGGTAGATTTTGCCGTTTGAAATGAAATGTGTTTTTACTTTTAACGTAAAAGGGCGCTACGCATCACAAGCACCAGCATCGTCTTATAACTTACGCATGGAATTCTAAGGATAAGTTTAGGGGTTTAAAATAATGCAAGTCACTATGCCTACTATTCTTTAAAGTGGTTTAGGCCTGAGTCTGTAAACAACTTATCTAATATTTTTATTGTTTTTGTGAAGAACATTTTTGGGTGTTGAACCGTGTATTTGCTGCCGATTGAGGTAAAATTCTCCTCCTGATTTTGCACAATAGTACAACTCAATCACTGTTAGCTTATTTTAAAATTGTTTTTTAATAAATGTTATTTGTTCGCAGCGTTCGGCGTGTGCGCGCGCGCCCTGCATGCCTTGATGGGCGGCACCGGGAGCGCAGGAGGCGGGCGCGCGTCTCGCGTCCTGCGCCTCCTACTACTCTTCGTGCTGGCTCTTGCAGCCGTAGAGTATCTCTTCGGGTCCATACTGGACGCCTCCCCGCTCAGAACCTACTTGTACGTACTTTTTCTCTTACATAACTTCGTAAACTAAGTCTGAGTACATTATTCTGAATAGCTTACTTTGGACGTGACAACGTCTTATAAATTGGTTTGCCGGGTGACACTTCAAGAAACTGCGTTATGCTCCGCTCACGTTATGCGCTCACAATGAGAGCGAGTGAGAGGCACGCGTCCCTTCCACTCGGGCATGGTTAGCCCGCCTAAGAGCGAGAGAGACAGACATAAAAAGTGAAAGGCACGCGTCCCTTCCACTCGAGCACAGTTAGCCCGCCTAAGAGCGAAAGACAAAGCGAGAGAGAGAGAGAGTGAGAGAGATAGGCATACACACCGGTTCATGTCTTGCGCTTCTATTTCGCTTAGGCGCCTGCATACAAGTTTACACGTTATTTCATCCTTGTTCCTACTATACGAATGAATATTCACATTAAAATTATTTTACCACTCGAAAGTCGTTGTCACGTAAAACTTTCGCCCGTATACCGACTTTACAGGCAACTAATTTTTTTTTTAGTCTAAACCCACTTGAGACTATATTCTTAATTTTTATTCCAGTTCTTAATTTCTATTCCAGTTATATCATCGTAGACATTTCTAGAATAGGAGTATTTTCATTGTAGACATACAAGTTTGAGAATTAGTTGTTTCAATTCACGACTCCTAGAAAGTGTTATTGATTGGGCTTTTCATCCTAGACATTGCCCTGATTTATGACAAAAGTTCTATCCCTATAGTCTAATAACTTACCTTATCCAAGGGATTTGGCAGACAGCATCAGAATAATCTCAATTAATTTCCAGAAACTCCGACAAAACACAACTGTTAACTGGTAGTCGTGGAGCCACTTTGAATGTAATAAAACCTCCTTCGGATAACACAACAAATCCAGTACCGGTGACCAAGAAACCAAATATGGCAGTAACACATCACAACCAAACTATGGCGACCAAAGTGATATCTGAACCACCACAGATGTCGCAGACCTCCATCCTTCTAACGAGGTTGATGGAGACTCTTAACAACGAAACCACAGATATGATAAGTAGTAATAAAAATGATTCGAGTAGTCTACCTCTTTGTGAACTTCCTGCTGACTTGGGTAAGCTGAAATATATTTTTTTATACTTGATAGGTGGACATTTGGCCTCCATCTCGCCTGGTGGTAAGCGATGATGTGGCCGAAGATGGAGCAAACCTACCTATAAGCAACCTGTTCACTCGGGACTTGAAGACACCCGAGTTATATTTGTCGGGAAACACAGATTCCGGCAACCAGTTCCATTCCTTAGCGATTCGCACAAGGAAGCTTATAATAAAGAATTAACAACAATAAGAAATATTTTTAGACTCCAATGTTGTAAGTAAAGAGTTAAAGGCTCGGTTATTAACAGGCTGTCGCCCAAATACTGAAGAACTACTCAATACTAAGTTGAACTGAAATATCATGCCATCTCTGTGATTTTACAAGGAATTTCTAGTGACAGCACTATATGTAAGAGCGCCTTAAAATTGCGTGGCGTTTGGGAATTTGGACACGTGTCTCATAAACCGTGATATTCAAAAACAAGTTGAAATTTATACCTTTATACGCCAATGTGATAAATTTGAAACTATATATACCTCTATATGTTGCAAATTAAAAGGTTATTGTAGGATACAAACTAGAGATAGATAAAATTCACTTTGTAACTATAAACTACGTCCGTCAAAATAAAATTAACTGACTGTCAATAAATTGTTTTTCAGGTCCTATACAAGCTAACAAAACTGATATGGATTTAGCGACGGTAGAAAAGAAGTTTCCAGAAGTACAGTTCGGTGGTAGATATAGTCCCCCCAACTGCACCGCAAGACATAAAGTCGCTATCATTGTGCCATTCAGGTAAATCTTATTATAATTGCAAATTACACTCAATAGATGGCGCTGTATAGAGCTTGATACCGGAATTTACCGCTAGTGTAGTGTAAACTATGTGCCTGACTATTATAACTATTTATTTTACGTCATTTTCAGCCATCGAGTTTTGGTTTGATGTACACTAGATTGTGCTAATCCTAGGTCACCATATAACCTTGTTTTCTAAATTCTAATTGCTTGTTTGTGTTTTACAGAGATCGACAACAACATTTAGCAGTATTTGTAAACCACATGCATCCCTTCTTGATGAAGCAACAAATTGAATATGGAATATTCATCGTTGAACAAGAAGGTACATTGTTTTGATTATATGATTTAAATGAAAGCCAGCTGCATGAATATAAAAGAAGCTGAAGAATGTATGTGAAAGTTATAGTAGGTTGGCGCCGTGTAGTTTTGTTTACTCCTAGGCAAAGGCAGTGAGCTTTGTATTAATCTTCAAGCTTGATAGGCGGATAGGAGACCGAAATTTTAAAGGTCCAGGTTTATCAAAAACAGCTACATAATCTGTTAAATATGTGGTATGTTAGATAGCAACGGCACCGACGGATAGGGAAGGTGTAGAGACTTGCCATCACCACACGGTAGTATCCCCTATAGCCCCATAAAACCCTTTAGTATTCCCTAATTAATTAAAACAATGCAATCGTCTACCTTCAATATAGAACCGTTGTTCAGGAGAGTGACAGCTCCTGTAAGATTAGCTGCAACCAGGTGGTATTCCTTCCTGTCGAATCGACGGAGAAAACGTAAGTTGTTCTCCATTACAACACACATCTTGCGTTTAGTTTTGTAGTTGAATAAAAGGATTTTAGATTATTTAGATTTTCTTTCGCCCAAATACTGAAACGCTACTGAATTTTAAATTGTACTTAAATATCGTGCCGTCTCTGTCTTTTTACAATGAATTTGTAGAGACAGAACTATACTTAAGCGCGACTTAAATTTGAGTGACGTTTGAGTATTTAGACACTAGTCATACACATATGACGAGTGTCTAAATACCACAGTAAATGAGAGTATTAATGTATTAGCTCATAGTATTGTAAAGAGGGTAAATAGTTTTAGAACATTATGTGGATAAACTGTGGCATTATCTGCCATTTTTAAGCTAAAAATATTTACATGTTTGTAGTTACAGTCCGGAGTGTTTATCCGCTAATTAGTTAAGAAAAACTTATAGATACACATTTCAATATTGATAGATTTGTCGCAGTAATACTTTTTAAAGAGGTTGTAGTAAAAAATGTAGCGAGGTGTGAGGTCGTATTGAAGTAAAAAAATAATTGTAAATATGTAGTTTCGTAAAAATCTAGGTATTTGTTGTATCCATTGTGTAATGTAATTCGTTTATAAAAGAATTATTGTTTATTTGTAAGAATTGCGTTTAAAAAACCGACGTCAAACCCCTTTCTTTTTGAAGTCAGTTAAAAAATGCTTTGTAATTAAAGAGATATACGTGGTCGAGCCAAAGCAACGATGTTTGATCCATCCTCAACACGCCGTGAAAGTCCTCTGTAAGACTATGAAGTTTTCGTTTTTAGTCTTTTTTTTTATTTGATGTGGCGACGTTTGACCACTATCTCGCCTGGTGGTAGGCGACGATGCGGTCTACGATGGAGCACGTCATCGTCACAGTTAAACTGAAGAAGAATTATATCAATATTGGTATTGGAACTACAAAGTGACTAAAATCACTGCAAAATGTTTCCAGGTGAGAAACCATTCAACCGTGCCAAGCTGATGAACGTGGGGTACATGGAGAGTCAGAGACTGGAGCCAAACTTCACTTGTTTCATCTTCCACGACATCGACCTGCTACCCACTGACACTCGGAACGTCTACTCCTGCACGACACAGCCGCGCCATCTCTCGGCAGCTGTTGACGTTTTTAAATATAAGTAAGCATGCCTTTTTAGATAAGTGTGAACTCTATTTCAAATTAAGTAGGGTTGATTTTAAACTAAAATACATATGAACCTTTTCCTCTACAAGACACAACTGTGCCATCTCCCGGCAATTGTCGGATGTTTTTGAATTCAAATTCAAATTCAAATTCAAATTCTTTTATTGCATATCATGTGTACAATTGGTGTTACATGAGGTACAGTATCAACATGAAACCTGGCTAGGGCACGGCAACATATAAAGCAAAAAATAATCTAATTAAACTACTATCAATACTTATTATATTATAACATAAGAAATGTTGTTTTCATTAAACATTAAAATATTATCTTTATTTTATTATAATAATGTATTTACATAAATTTCTCAATAATGTATAGGTATTATTGTATGTAGTATATGTATTATTATATTTAGTATGATTCCTTATTGAGTCGGTATGCATTGAGTGTTAAGATTTGCTGGTTTGGTCATCAAAAAACTCATTAAGGGTGTAGTAACATTTTTCAATGAGGAACCGTTTTAATTTATTTATAAACACGTTATATTTTTCTGCTTCTTTTATGTGTTTCGGTACAGCGTTATATATTTTTATTGACATAACTAAGGTGCCAGACGAATGCATGTGAAGTCGGGAGCTTGGTAGGTTTAGTCTGGTTTTGTGTCTTAAGTTATATTCTGTCTTATTGTCACGTGTATTGTAATATTCTGGGCGGTTTCTGACAAATTTACATTTCCAAGATGTAGGTGCATATCATGGTAAGTATTTTGTGGTTTCTAAAATGTGGTCTACAGCTGTCGGTTTGTTCTATATTTGTCATTATTCTTATTAACTTTTTTTGTATGGTAAATATGGTCTGTGAGTCTGTACTATTGCCCCATAGTATTATGCCATAGCTTATCCACGCTTGGGCATAAGCATAATATGTGGCAAGTGCGGTTTTAAAGTTGGTGGATTTTTTTATTTCATATAAGGCGTAGGAAAATTTCGATAACTTTGATTTAATTTTTTGTATATGTGATTTCCAGTTGATATGTGAGTCTATTGATAAGCCGAGTAAGGTAAATTGATTTACTTGTTCTATTTGTATGCTATTGAATTTAAAGTCAATTTTAAGGGGGGTTTTTTGTTGGGGGTGAAAAGTCATAAGTTTGGTTTTTGAGAAGTTGATTTCTAAATTATGGTGTTCCATCCAGTTTACTGCTGCAGAAAGGAGAGTGTTAAGTTTATTATCTAAGTTCATATTGTTTTGGCATGACGTGATAAGTGATATATCGTCAGCAAACAGGACGCATGGTTCTTTTATGGTCTTAGGGAGGTCATTGATGTAGATGAGGAACAAAAGGCACCCTATTACACTTCCTTGAGGAATTGATGCATTTACAGGTTTGCATTCAGATCTTATCTTAGATATTTGTTTGGTTTGATTATCAAAATACTCTATCTCCACAAGTTGTTCTCGGTCTCTAAGATATGAAACAAACCAATCATGAGCTTTTCCCCTTATTCCTATTCCTTTTAATTTATCCAGCAGTATGTGAAATTGTACCCTATCGTAAGCCTTTGTCATGTCGAGCAGTATACCTATCGCGTAGTTCTTGTTGTCGATAATATTTAAAGCTTCTTGGATATATTTGTAGACTGCCAGGGTTGTGGTTCTATTTTTACGAAAACCATTCTGGCAGTCGTCTAGTATATTATATTTTTCACAGAAATCATAAACGCGCTCGCACATTGCTTTCTCGAATATCTTCGAGGCTGTAGGTAGTAAAGCTATGGGACGGTAGTTATTTGGGTCTGTTTTGTCGTTCTTCTTGTGAATTGGCTTTATTATGGATTTTTTAAGTTGGTTTGGGAAAGTTCCTTCTTCGAATGATTGATTTATTAATTTGTAGAATGGTAGTGTTAGTTCGTTCGCACATTGTTTAAGTAAGGAGGGAGGGAGCTCATCAACGCCATAACTTTGTTTGTTTTTTAAGTTTTTTATGATGTTATTTACTTCGTAGGGATCTACAGGTTTGAGAAACATAGTATTTTCTATTTGACGTAGTACGGGGAAACCTTTAGGGGTAGGTGTAGTTGTTTTTTCACCAATGGACATAAAAAAGTTGTTAAAAACGTCAGCAACCTGTGAAGGTTCATTGACCAGACTATTGTTTAGGTTTAATTTTATATTGTGTTTTTCGCTGTTAATTGTTTTATTTGTATTTTCATTAATGATCCTCCACATGGTTTTTGTTTTATTTGAGGATTTATTTATTCTATTTATATATTGTAGCTTTTTTGCTGTTGTTACAGATTTTTTTAATATTTTTTCGTATTTTTTGTAGTATTGTAATAATACGGGGTCATTTGATTTTTGTGTGAGGATTTTTAGGAGTCTTTTGTTTTTACAGGATATTTTAATACCTTTTGTTAGCCAGTACTTTTTCTTCTTTGCATTTAATTTAATTTTTTTAGAGGAATACATGAATTGAGAATGTTTGTTAGAATATTATTAAAAGCGTTATAATTTTCGTTTATGTTGTTAGTTTTTATTAAGATGTCATTCCATTTTATTTTGTTAAGTTCGGATTTAAAAGTTTGTATGTTTTTGATAGTAAATAATCGTTTTCTTGTGTGCCATATTATGTTTTTGTTTTGTTTATTCGATATTGTATGTAAGATGGTGGCATTGTGGTCGGAGAAACCGAATTCTTCAACCGTTGTGTATGTGTTATTGTTTTTAAAGTTAGTAAATATTAGGTCTAAACATGTCGAAGTAGTCTGTGTTATGCGTGTAGGAACTTTTATATGTTGGTTAAACTTATATTCTAACATGAGATCTAAGAATAAATTTGTTCTTAAATTATTTTCCAAAGTATTAATATTAAAATCTCCACCTAATATAACATTACGCTTTGAAAATTTCTTACTTATTAAGGACATAATTTGTTTTAGTTTAATTATAAATTGATCTTCTTCCTTTCTATTCCAATAACAACTCAGAATTAACATATTTTCCTTTTTTATCTCTATTGCACAGATTTCTAAACAATACTCAATAGACATATCACAAAAATCACTTATCTCTACATAGTCAATTTGGTCCTGCAGTAGGATGCACACGCCGCCGCCGGTTCGGGAGCTGCGACAGTACGATGCTGCAATTTTGTAGCCATCAAATCGCAGAGTATCCAGTTTTTCTTGTGACAGCCAAGTTTCACTTAAGCACATGACGTTGTATATGGGTTTCTCGTCAATAAATGCTTCTAGTAGGTGTTGTTTGTTGTAAATACTTTGGATATTTTGAAATAAAATTTTAAATTCTTGGTCCGTGGTTTCGAAAATATAATTTTTTCGATTTGTATCTTCTCTATTAGTTTCATGCGTATTGTTTTTTGTAGCGGGAGAAGGTACGCAGTTGTTTATTGTTTCGTCGTTACTTTCAGCATTGTTTTGGGTATTTGTTATTTCCTTGTTAACCAATATTCTTTTTCCTTCTATGAACAATTGGTTGTTTCTTATTGTTGCGTGCAGACCGTTTTTACGTGCTTTTAGCATTTCGTCACGTAGTATTTTTCTTTCATTACGGGCGTAATCATTTAAGAATTCAGAAACGTATATTCTAGTTCCTTGAAAGTAATGCCTATTTTCAATTATGTATTTTGCTGTTCTTTTGCTCAGAAGTTCGATGACTAAGGGACGGTTTTTTATATTACTTCTTCCTATTCTGTATGTTTCTTCAATGTAACCCGTAAGGTCTAATTCAAGGATTTCGTAGAACAACTCAATTATCCTGCTTTGGAGTTCGCCATCAGTTTCATTGTAGTTTTCGGGGAATCCATAGAGTACAATTTTCTTTGAGTTTTCGTTATTAATTTGGTATTTATTAGTTTGTAGTTCAGTTGTGTTTAAGGTAGTTTCTGTTAGTTTTAGGTTTTGTATTTCTAATTTTATTGAAGAACATATGGTTTCTAGATTTTCTATCTGTTTAGTCAAGTTATTTATTTCAACTTTATTGTTATTAACGCTTTGAGTAATTTCTCGGAAGTTTGTTGAGAATTCCATTTTTATTCCGTTGAGACCCTTACAGATTTCAGCTGCAATTAATTGTTTAATCTCTGTAATTACGCATAGCTTGTTATGTTCGAATTTCTGATCTATTAATGTCTCCAACTTATTGAGCATAGTATCAATTTGCGAATGTGGTATGTTAGGACTCTGTGGTTGGAATGTATCGCCTATTTCGCTTATTTCGTCGTCGATGTGGGTGCAGTCGTTATTGGTGTCTTCCAGAGCAAGTATCTGATACAAGGAAGTATTTCCATCGGTTTTTTTATTTCCAGGTGAGGTATTCCTTTTGGTTAGATTTAACTCTACTGGACGAATAGGAGTGTTTGTGTTATCTCCTTTTGGTATTTTACAGCGGCAGAGTTGACAATTCCAAGCTGTTTTGTCTTCTACTGTTAGCCGTAGAAAGTTGGGCGTTGTTATGTTTGCACACTTTAGGTCGTATTTATTGTGGCATAAATTGCACATCAAATATCGTCTATTTGTTATTTGTTGAAGACAGCCCGCGCATGGTGGCGCCATCTTTTGGTGCAATTTAGTTTGTAGTGGTTGTAATGTCGATAATATGACAGATTGTAATGGGATTGTAGTTCTTACTATCTTGATGTAGTTTAATGCAATTTACATAGATGGCGTGTTTTTGTTTAAAGTTTTGTTAACTAGATGGCGCTGTTTGAATATTTACATTAGAGGTTGCGGGTGACTCGAAATTTGAATTATAGGTAACAACGGAATCAAAATAGAGTTTTCACTTTTTTGAAAAAAGTTTATCTTTTCCACTATGGCACATTACAGAACACAAGTTTTGGGTTCAAAACACAGTTTCAGCAGCACAGAGTTTATGTTTTTGCGCCTTTTAGGGCATTATTGTAATAATTTTGTTTTTGTTTACACTTTGTCCAATACGATTTTTTTAGTTCACTATATTTTTGTTATTATTGAATCAATTGTTAAGATAACATTTGTACACAGTTATTAACCTTTAGTCTTTGTTTTAAACACTGATTCACATCCTAATTATACGTTTACTTAATTTAATAATTTAAAATTCGCGGAACTGATGTTTACTGTGGCAAGTGGCGCCACCCACTTCCGCATATCCACTTATCCACAATATCAGTACTAAGCATTTATTTATTTTTTTAAATGAGTGCCAACTCTGTTCATAATACAGTAAGATTGATTTCAGAATAACAATAAAAATAAGATAATTATTATTACTATTTCCTAAATTACGCCAAAACGCTGTGGTTTCGCAAGTTGAAATTTGAACTTAACGTTCTCGAAAATAAACATCATTTCTCCTTTTCCAGGTTACCATACAAGACCTTGTTCGGTGGTGTGTCAGCAATGACCAATGAGCAGCTGCGCAAAGTGAACGGCTACTCAAACAAGTACTGGGGTTGGGGGGGCGAGGATGACGATATGGCGGATAGGTAAGCAGTTTGTTCATTCAATGTCTACCATGCCGAATTATAACCAATATTAATCCAAAACTGTACATTTAAGATTAAAACCTAAAAGAAATAATGTCAAAATTGTATGTACCTATGTGAACAGTGGGCAGCAAGCTAACTTACACTTTTCTGTCAAATTTCTTTTTACGATTTTCAACTTTATCGCTTATTTATAAAGTTAAAAATCCAATGTTAAAAATTGACACATTGGTGTAGGTTAGTATACTGGCCACTGTACACACGGCTACACATCGAGCTTTACATAACCAATATAAACTGAACGTTAAATGTGCGGAAAGATGATGTGACGCGACACCAGGATAAACTGGTTTTATATAGACTGATGTATGGCTGTTTGTACCTAAAACTCTTTTGATAGACAGGTTCAAGCTTCTTCACATGCGATTTATTTATGAATTTTTAACAATCACAACGATAGAAAACCCAAATACAGTAACTGATGTCGTATCGGAAGCGTATCCTTACGACGGTTCATAGTAAGCGTATTGTCACGCTGTTGTATCATTGCGTACTCTCATACTCATCATCTACAGCTGAAAGGCGTCCACTGCTGGACAAAGGCCTCCCCCTTAGTCCTCCAAGTGGGAACGACAACTCGCCCCCTGCATCCACTCCCCGGCTTCCCGCAACTCTACGGGAAGCCCACGCCTTGTCTCAGACTGTTGAATCTTAACTCCGTCATTTTGTTGTTTCAGGTTAAAAATAAATAATTACCACATAGCAAGGTATCCGATGTCTATAGCGCGATACGAGATGCTAACTCACAAGAAACAACGACCTAATCCTAAAAGGTGAATTCAAAATTTTATCATTTTATTCAGTGGAGTAGTATGTGCCTATATTTTTTTTATATATCAATCTTGTTTATATTATTACACTCTTGGGATATACTAAATTAATTAATATGTTTACGGCTTAATTCCGTAACTGTTTTACGAAGAACACGACTAGTTTTAAGCCATGCTAGAGGCTCATATTCATGAGCAGCATTCGCGGTGCTGACAGCAGTCGCGGCAATTTAAACTAGTCGAGTTCCTTGTCAAACAGTTACGTGAGTAAGCCGAAAACATAATAATTAATGTCAATGTTTGTTTTAACATTCCAGGTACCAGCTACTGTCGCAAAGTAAATCGTTCGTCAAAGACGGCCTGTCTAACCTCGACTACAAAGTGAAACAAATCATAAACTATCATCTCTATACTCATATATTAGCCAATATAGACGAGCATAGCTGATGGACATATTTCGCCAAGCTATTGTTTGGCGATGATCGGTAACATACGCTCAGTGCACTGACACTACGACAATGACAGGTATCTAGTGTTGCCTGACAAAAAATACCTTTCTACGGTAGAAAACGGAACTTGGAAACTACCAAATTCGTGAAAACTCAAAGGACTGTTATAAAACGTCTTGTCACTTAAGTCAATTGTGATTGTGCGACAATTATGATTACGATGTTATGTAATATTATATATATGAAATGATATATAAGTAATTGTAAGTAGATAACGACTGTTGTTTCAAAATTTTCTAATCATTCCATGTTTTTCTACGTTATAACTTTACTAGTAAGTTACTCAATCTAATAAATGGCAACACTAGGAATTTGTCTGCTGTTTATAAACATAGATGCTTAAGAAAAAATAGGCGTTTATATTAATTTAGAATGTAAATTTTAAGTTACAATTTGAGATATTTTTTACTTTCGTTGTACTAAAATCATCCAAATCTATTCTAAGGAAATGTATGTATGCGTTATACGTGTTAATTATTTTATTTGTAACTTATTAGGTATACGATATCTATATAAATATTTTATACCATTTAATTGTTATCTTATTTCGTGCTTTTTTTAAAGTTTGACAAATGGCTGAGCAAAAATAAAATATTTAAGACTAATTCGATTGGTTACAAAGGAAAATTTTATGTAAAAATTGTATATATGAAGAAGATAGTGTAGATACGAGAGGAGGGCATTTTATTATATGAAGTACAGAGTGACAATATAGTACATAAAACAATTCTACTTAGAATTATGATTACGCTCAGAGCGTAGGAAGTACATTTACTACTGAATAATATTTACTTATTAACTAAAATATATACTTATATATAATTCATCACAGCATCTGGTAGGAAAAATATAATTTCTAAAAATTCATAGACAGATATACAGCATGTTTTGTTACTTGAGTATAATATTGTAAGGGGATTGCAGTACGGGTAATTTTTAATTTGTTTTTGATGACAACACTGATAGGCTGAATGAACAATATTTACATGTCAATAACAAAAAAAAGGAAACTAGGTGTGATTTTTTTTGGGTATTGTTTATCTACCTATCTAATGTAGGCACTTGGCAGTCGCTGGTGATCACATGACCAATAAGGTAATTAAAATAAAAAGTACTTTAACTCTTATTATAATAAGCTCTATTTCTATGGAATATAATTCATTTCAGTATCAAAATAAAAACCGATCAATTCTAGGGATTTTCGATATTGCAATAAGCCGAATGTCTGCTAGTGGTTTCACCAAAAAAAATCCAAATGATTTGTCTTGTACCATCTACCACTACCTCTACAATTTTATACTCTGGAAACTAATCACACTGTATAAAGTTAGGCGATTTCACGGCCGATTTCAATTTTACCGGCACCTTATTTAAAATTTATTTATTTCTATTTTAATAATACAGTAAAACCCGCTTAAGACGATTTCTCAGGGACCTTACCAAAAACGCGTCTTAAGCGAGAAAGCGTATTATGCGGGATAGGGAAAATAAAAAAAAGTAGGTACTACTTATTATTATGTAATATGTTCTAATTTTTGTAATTATACATTTATAAATTACGTTAAATACGTAGTGTAATTAAAATTACATTATTTAAAATAATCACTTATTTTGGTTTGACAAAAAGATTTTGATGCATTAGCAATTAAAAGATTTTCAACAGCGTCTTAAATCATAAACGGCTGATAATGCCTGGGCGTTTGACAAAACCGGAGTTGACTCATCTTCGTCTTCATCATTATCACTTAGGGCTTCGTTTTGTGTGTTGTTCACATTCTCAATAAGATCTTCAATTGATTGAATTTCGTACGGTGCTACATTGTCATCAATAGAAGAGTATCCAGGAAAAAGGAAAAACACGACGTCAATCACGTTGTTCTCTCGCTGCTCGGCGTGTATTAAACGGGATGACGAATCGTATTAAGCGTTAAGAAATGTATGAAAATATATTTTAAGTTGCAGGGACCGACGTAAAATGGCGTATTATGCGAGAAATCGTATTAAGCGTGATCGTCTTAAACGGGTTCTACTGTATTTACATAACCTACTAAGCCAATAACAAAACTAATATTGTTTCCAATATTTTGGTACTAAAACCGCTCTATGACGACCTAAAAGATGTATTTGGAGCAAATGAAATTCCTTGAGATAAAAAAATAATCTAGAAATAATGCTATAGATAATTTTATTTCGTGATAAAGTAATTAATATTTTTATTTATGTATTTTAATATTATTTTTTAATAATTTAATTAATATATTAAAAAAATATTTACCGATTAAGTTTAACATAGGTAGTCATTTTATCAGGAAACAAAGGCCTAAATGGAAATAATAATACTAAACGTTCACTTATGGTGCTCCTAAGCAGTTTCGGAATATTAAAATCTACTGTACTACGAAGCCTAAGTCAGTCCAAACTTAATAATAAATAAATAAATTTGACAACAAGTAAAATTAGGAAAATCCCAATCAAAAATTTATTAGCTGTGTCTGCAGATAAAAAAACATACAGATAAAAACTCATTTGTCTATTTCAGCAAAAAAAACTTTTTTTCTTCTTTAATAGCAACCAGAAAAAAAAATACATGACAGATAGATAGGCAGATGACACTATGTCATCTCATGCATAAAGCTTGCTTCTGTCAACATAACTTAGATGTATAATCTACAGTGGCGCCATTTTTATTACACCTGTTAAACACACACGTATTACAAATACTTGGATTCAATATATTTATAATATACGTAATTGTTACTCCTGTGGATAGACACCAGTAAATAAAAGATTCGCTGCTAATAAATTTCTGAAAGAGATATTCATAAAAATGTTATATTTTGTTACGAATCGTATAGTTGATTGATAAAGGATTCTATTAATAAATAAAGTTCATAAAAAGGCCGTTTGCATTTCTAAAAAGAAATATATCCATTAGTCAGGCTGCCATTAATTGTACAGTGAAACTTGGTTAAGTGGGACCTGGATAAGTGAGAAACCTCCATAACTGGAACTCATGCTGAGGTCCCAACACTTTGGCACTGAATTACCTCTGTTAGTGGGACGAGGTAAACCTCTATATCTGGGATTTGTTCTTTCGATTTATCATCATAGTTACCTCTATAACTGAGACAGCGAGTAAATTTTCTATGCATAAACCTCTGTAACTGAGATAACATTGTTTGTTTTCTCATTCTTATTCTACCCAAAAATTCCATACGTAATTCCAAGTCCACCTTTATGAATGGAACCCTCTGTAAATGAGACAGATATTTATTTATACCTGTATATCTGAGACACTGGGTAAGTGGAATACCTCTATAAGTGAAACGACTTTGCAGGTCCCTTGATGTCTCAGTTAACCAGGTTTCACTGTATTTAATTAGTGCTGTATAAGAATATCGCTGTCCTTATCACTCACTAAAGTTCTAACTTACCTCTCATTCATTTAGTCGCATGATAAAGAGGCCAAGACTCATTGAATTAACTATGTATTACTGTATTAGCTGGTTCGTGTATTAAATAAATGCTGTACCAATATTCCATACGACGTAAAATGTTTTATACTAAATCAATGTACTTATTAATTAAATAAATGAAATTGTAAATAGCTTTTGTAGTTAGATAGACAAACTTATTTAGATTACAATTGAAATTATATCCTTACTGTTCAAAGCTTTATGTTTAAATAATTGTAAGGGTTAGTTTAGACGACGGCGCAATGCGGTGTAAATAAGCCCTAATGTATACCTACGTAAGTTACTTTTAAACAATCTTCATACCAATTTCTTTAAGTATAGAGTTTATTTTTGTGTATTTTTCCATATTGTAAGGATTTTTATGACTGTTCTTATGAAGTTGTAGATTGCTTTATTTATTCAAGATAAATCAATATCAGTTAATACTAATGTGCCAATGTAAAGCCCGCGCATATTGACCATAGAGAAAACTAAATCTGTAATGGTAAAAAAGTACGCGAGGATGAATAATAATAATTAATCGACCATATAATAGCCCTAACTTAAGGTTGAATATCGCTTGCGCTTCTTTCTGTTGGCATTATGTCTACGTAAAAATATGTTCTTGAATTTTTATGTTAAGTGCTTTTTTATTGTATTAATACAATTCTGGATCTGAGATCTACTATTGTCGTGAAGTGAATTCCTTTGTTATATTAATTTAAACCTTATTCACTTAATTTTAAGGGATACAATGTGATACATCTGTTTATGAGCGAAAGATGCACGCCATTGCTCAGATAAAAATAACATTTATAATAATTGTAGGCAAATGCATTTGCAATTCTTTCAACAGGTTATGCTTCTTATAGCTTTCGTAAAAAAAAGTTATTATAACAGCACCACGTTTTTAATCAATTTAATTAATCTTTTTTATGGCATAAACCGGCAAACGAACAGACGCATCACCTGATGGAAAGCAATCGGCGCCACCCATAGATACTTGGAACGCCCCAGAAACGTAACAAGTGCGTTATCGACCTTTTAGTGATTTTGGGGATAAGGAGTTTGAGGATTGTTGGGGAATTAATCTCCTTGCTTGCAAAAGGCTTGGAGATATTGGGGAAGGGAGGGGGGGGGGGATAATTGGGCATCTGGTAACCCCACTCACATGACGAAATACAACGCAAGCGTTGCTTCACGTCTGTTTTCTTGAGGCCGTGGTATCACTCCGGTCGAGCCGGTCTATTCGTGCCGAAGCATGGCTCAACACTTCTAGATAAATAGAACAAATTATTGTTTGAATTGAATTTACTGCAAAATTGAGAAGTTTGTTTATGGAACTATTTATTTTTATGAAATCTAGTTACTGGGCACTGGTGTGTACTTTATTAGGCCTAATAGTTATATTAGATTGAGCTAGAAACTTGGAATGGAATGGACAACGTAATTGTAAACCCCACACCGTCAATTTTTTTAAAGCAGTAATTTCTATATTTCAATTATTATTTAACGAAATGGGTCAACGCTGTCCTTTTCACTCAGTAATAAGCGTAGTAAATTTTTAGTTTTATATTTTATTTTTATAAGTCTATTCAATGTTTTAACTAGTTGAAGCCTAGCCTACAAACTTTGAAGTGTAATGCTCAAAATTATTGTCAACTCAATGCGAACTTGCTAATGTTGCCATATTAAAATTACTCCTAGTCATGGGTACGAATTAAGGAAAAATCTACCTATAAATATATTATTGTCACACCATTTTAAAGTTTGTAGGATATCTAAAGTCTTCTATAAAATGAACTATTCGATTAATTTTATATTTACATATTTTTATAATGATATTAATCCTTATTTCTGTAATTAATTTTAGCCAAATACCTAAATATAGTAATAACCAAATGTATTTATTATTTTAAACGTTGCTTTCCATTAGTACATAGCTATTTACTTGTGTACTTGTACTAATGTATGATAATAAATGAATTATAATAAAACCAAGTTGCCTATGTAGGTGACAAAAAATGGTACTATTTGAAATCGGTACAAAATGACAATATTTAAACTGTATTACGAAGAAACTAGCGACGATGTCAGCTGCATAGTTAACTTGGTTTTAGGTACTGTAGTAAAGGATTTGTACCTGTTTTTACTGAAGGTATATGCGAAAAATTTAATGGCCTATTTGACATCACAATATTAGGTAATTATTTGAAATAACTATATATCTAAATTACTGATTACGAATTCCTGTACTCGCGAATATAAATACAATGGGGCATATTTTTGCTCACCAAATGGCGCCAATGTGAACGTGTCGTTCTTCGTCCAATAGTGAATTAGTGAGTGTCATACCATTGGACGTTCAATATTTGACAGCTGCTGTGATTGGACAAAAAATAACCTTCTTACATTTGCGCCGTCTGGTGAGGAAAAAAATGTAAACCCTATTACATAGTTTTAGTGTTACTCCGCTTAGACGAATTCTTTATAAATAAACCTATACCCTATACTAGAACTATAGCTTAGACCATGAGTTACTTAAAGAAAAGTGATATAAATAATAGTTTTCATTTCAGAAAAATGTTTTAAGTAAATAAAATGGTTTGTTTTTATTTAATTTCTCGTTTTATTTTTAACTACAGCATTAAGAGATTTTGTCGCATTTCTCAAATATTTTTGTAGAAGTGTTTTTGAAGTGGTCCTCCCGTCCTATGTGAAGCAGGGGTTTTAGCTTTTAAGCTTATTAGCTTTTAAGCTATCCCAGTTCAACTCCTGGTTGGAGCCGGGTCCGCAGGTATGTATAGGCGACCTTGCTCTCAACCCTGGTTCCCGAGTGACTTGAAAATAGGTCGACAATTTGGTACCTATGTACATAGAAAGGAAGGATAACATAAATAATACAAAATAGAGTTTTATGTCAATGTAATACCATTGCAAAACATTGAAGTTTAGGCACTGTCACACGAAAAAAAAATAAGAGCACGCTACTCAGAATCACATTGGCCAAAATGAAAAAAAAAGTACACAAATCACAGTTGGTTTAAACTTTAAAAAATAACGCTGTATAATTTTACACTTAACATTTTTACAATTTAAAATGGCCGCATGACGTCTTGGGAGCGAACGGCAGGAATTTTAAATACAAAGATAGGTCTATTGCTGAGTTGGAGTGAGGCTCGGAGGCCGGCAGCCAGTTGTCGCGGCAAGCCCATTAATGGCGGGCTTTCGCGCCATGATGTGCGTCGCAAATACCAAGATGGCGCCGGCGTGCAAGCTAGTGTCAAATCCAGCCAACTTCTTTCCGCTTCAAACTTAGTTCTAAATCATTAGAATTATATTGCGTTAGATACCTGCTTTTACTGTGACATCTATCTTTAGGTACCTGTATAACATTTACAGATACCCCTAGTACTTACAAAAAAACTTCAATAGGTAATCTACTGTTTATCTGATTTCTGACTAAATTCTACCTGATCTGTTACTACAGAATATTATATTACTTATATTAGAAAATATTTAATAATCTGTAGTGTAAGGATGCACTTATCTATAATAATAATAGATATTTGTGTAAATAAATATTATTAGTGATTAGCACTTTACTAGGTTCACCTCTAATAACAGACGTAGGTCTGGATTACCTAAGATAACTTAAGGTGTCCAATAACTTGCTATTTAATACAGGAAACAGAATACATAGGCCAAACCTAAACACACCAAGTGTGTCACAGTTTTATAGTTTATTCAAAGCACTCACTTCTCTAGTTCTCTCTCCTTTTCTTTGTCCTTGCTACGTTTCGGTTTCCGAGTGGGCGTCGTCGCTCTAAACCTATAGTATTTCGGCATCTTTCAATATAAATTTTGCAAAAAATGTTACGCGAACATACATACACAATGATCCCAAAATGACATTACAAATCTGACATACCAAATTAGTGGCTTTTTTATTGGTTTACCTCTGGCCAGGATGAATGAAAACCTTTTTGCTATTATTTTTTATCTATGCCAACCTACTCAAAATGAGAGTATTGAAAAAAAATTATGTCAAACCTACAGTTATGGCGTAGGAGTTTTGTTTTTATATATTTTTTGAAATATCTTTTTACATTTACATATTTTACATATCTTTTTAGATATTTTACGTTACAAGCCTAGTGAAAAATATGGCGAGCTTTTCACTCCGTCTACTGACTATATTCTTATTCGCTGCACTCGTGCTGAACATTTCCAATTATTATTTTATAAAAAGGTATAACCCTCGCCCGGATTTATTCCGATATGTCTACACCAAGTTTCCAAAGAATGCTAGGTACGTACGTACGTACGTACGTTTATCTTTATTTTCATTTGTGGTTTAACAAGTTATTCATTTATTTCGTAATTCAGATTTTGCGTGATTCCTTTTTTTGAGGGGAGAAAATCATCTAATGACTTCTCCCACCTTGGGTGAGATGAGCGGGGGGAGTGTCAGACTCTTAATGACTAAAAGCCACCCCATTCCTACTCCTGCTTCGAGCAGGAGCCCGGCAACAGCTCCACTGGGCCCCATCTGTGGTCTGTGGTGGCTATTTGAGGCGCGCACAGAATACGACGCGCTGTACCTAGGTACTACGGTGGTTTACGGGAATAAAAAGCACCTACATAGAAACACATAGGTACTTATTGCGAATCTACATGTTGCACAATGTTGGGTTGCCTTTACCTGGATTACCCCATATCCTGGGTTGTCTAACTATCATCAAGTACTTATCCAAAGTTTTTAATACTCTTACAGTGGAATTGTAGTCCGTCGTTCCATCAATACAAGGCGCTGGTCTCCGCAATTGGAATGCGATGATATGGCCTCCACTCCAAAAACGCAAAGCCTTAAAGTTTATGACACAGAAAAGTCAGATGCGAGTTCGAGTGCAGCCCCTAGCTCTGTTTATTCTATGATGTTCGAAAAAACTTCACAAACCGCTTCTGAAGCAGTTCTGCAGAACTGTCCAGAAATGCCTCCTGATCTTGGTGAGGATTCTCAAACATTACCCGCATTACATTATAATATCATTCGTTACCAAACTTCGCCTATAACTTATAGCGTAGTTTTAAAGTTTACATAACATAACATACCATTACATCACGCCTTTTATATCCGAAGGGTGTACATTACGGCACTTAATGCCACTGTACAATATAACACCCACTTTTCACTATTTATGTTATGAGTCCCATGTAATAGGGGGTGAGCCTATTGCCATATCATCATCATCATCAACAGCCTATAAATGCCCACTGCTGAGCAAAGCCTCTCCTCACACGGAGAAGGTTAGAGCATTAATCACCACGCTTGCTCAATGCGGGTTGGCGATTTCAAACTTATAATTAGAAATTATAAGTTCAGGTTTCCTCACGATGTTTTTCCTTCACCGTTTGTCAGTGGTGTCTAAATAATCTTAGAAAGTACATATAACTCGGAAAAAGTCACATTGGTACTTGCCGTTGGTAGGTTTCGAACCCGCACCCTCATGCATGAGAAGTGGGCGTCTTAAACCTCCGGGCCACCACGACATGTTTGCCATATACCGGGCACTATTCCCGACTTCGTGCTACTACTGAGATTTTTTGAAAAAGCCCAGTTGTACTTTGCCCGACCTGGGAATCAAACCCCTTGCCCGGCAGTCGCACTTGTGACCACTCGGCCAATGAGGCAGTCAGTTTTTAAGTTTAGTGTTGCTATATCTTCATATTCCACGAGTTTTTATGGTTGTGAAAGACAGGCCGTCGTTTCACGCAATAAAATACTAACATCCAGCCACTCGGTTCCAACCCCAAAAATAATTAAGAACGGGCCAAAAGAAATGGTGCTACAATCCCCACGCTTGGCGGATGATTTGGGGATCGCTGTTGCGGCAGCCTGCACTTGTGTGGTTCGTACAGTGTAGCCACCACAGTAATATTAAAAATAGTAGGTATATCTATGGTACCCATAACCCACACTAGCCTCTTCTTAGTTCTTATTCTGTAAGATGAGGCAATGTGTTCAGAACGTTGCAAATATTGCCAACTGTAAAAATATATGCATTTTTAAAATTAAACAACTAGGTATTATCAATCCCCAGGTCCTGAGCTAGGTCGATCGCTTGATGTTAAACGCTTTATTGAAGACAGAATTAATGATGTGCGACCAGGCGGTATCTATCAGCCGGAAAACTGCAAGTCTTTGCAAAGTGTGGCTGTGATTATACCTTACAGGTAAAGGCAGTTCTCTTAGACACCTGCTGATGAAGTTTGAACCTGACTTTGTCAAATCACTACATAGTATAAAACAAAGTCGCTATCCGTCGTCTGTCTGTCCCTATGTATGCTTACATCTTTAAAACTACGCAACGGATTTTGATTCGGTTTTTTTTAAATAGACGGAGTAATTCTTAAGGAAGGTATAAATGTGTAATACATGTTTATTGCACCCGTGCGAAGCCGGGGCGGGTCGCTAGTTTTTAATACATTTTAACTAAGTACGTAACCGGTAGCGACTTAATTTATTCACTGCATGATTAAAGCACAAATAGACGTTCGAACCGAACCGTCACCGTAGCGTCAATTTGGTAGTCCAGTGGTATCCATTGAAAGTGAGCAATGGACCGCTGTACGCACTATCGAATATGGTCCGAAGCGGACAAAAATGACGATTCGGTTCGATCGTCTATTCGTGCCTTTATAAGGGCTCACCGTAGCATATTATGTAGGTATCTACATCGGCAACACCAGAGGCATTAAAGGTGCGATTTTGTGGATATGGTTGAAAGTAATTAATTATGTGACATCTTAAGAAACATTATAGAAAGCAAATAAAGGTTTGAATATGAATAATATTCGATCAGACTGATATTTATTTTTGCTTTTTAACAGAGGCTGCAAAGGTTACCTCAATGTATTTATGAATGTTTTACATCCGTTTCTAATAAAACAACAACTGGATTACCGAATTTTTGTGATTGAACAAAGTGAGTAGATTTTTTTTATCTTTTTTTTAGTTATTACAAGATCTACCTACATAACATAACATCACCCCTTTTATCTCCGAATGGGTAGACAGAGGTACGGTCAAAGGTCAAAAGTCCACTGCCACCGTAAGACTACTATCGGTTGCGCTGCAGCGCTTATACACACATTGTCACGTTTATAAGACGTGTACAAGAGAGAAATAAAACTAGGTTTAGAATTAATAAAGTATGTGGGTATATTAAAAAAAAATTGAAGGGTCTGCCTAGGTCTTTAGCACTTGCTTAGTTCTCCACACTTCCCTGGCGAGCTCCCGTCCTCCAGGCGTAGTTCCGTCAGCTCGGCCACTCCACTCAGGTGCTGTGACAGGTTCGTTGTCCGGTTCGGTTATTGAAACCGTGACGTAATTCCTGGTGACAAGGGCCACATCAGTAAGCTGCCGGTATAAGGGGTGCACGGGAAACGCTAGGTATGCATGGCAAGAACTACATTGGAAAATTAGGGCTTACAAGGCGGGAAGAATTCCAGGCGTGATTCTTAATCGACACTGTAGGTAATGGTCGCTAGCAGAGGCGGTTACAAGCATATAATAAGAACATAGTGAAGGAAAAGCAAAACATTACACAAGGATAGAAATTAATAAGCTACGATAGTTAGACAGGCCCGTACCTTAAGATTAACGCAACGAATATAAAAAAAGGTAGGTAATGGCCGTTAAAATTCTTATAAAATTGTGCACAACTTACCCAAGTTTGGGAATCACAATCACTTACAGGTACTTAATTTAGTTTAGTAGTATGGATAAGCAATCCAGTCTCAAAATATTTTATAATTATTTATGGCTTTATAATTCGCAATGACGGTAAGTATGCTATTATCAAAGCGACAGCGTCCGTGCCTCAAGAGGTTTGGCAGCGGAATGTCGTCTCGCTTGCGCTCGCGCCGGCTCGTCGCGCGGCCGGGTGGCGGGGCGCGGCGAAGAACCTGTTACTCCATATATATAAAATAATGCGGTTGTCCGCATCACTTAATTGTTACAATTTATTTTTAAGTTAATTAATATTTTTATTTTAATAATATTAGTTTTTTTTTATTACTACTAAGTAGTTACTTACACTATGTTACATTACCCCTCTCCCCAGAAAAAGGATTTCAACTTAATGAAATCCGCAAGGAGACTAATTGATAGAAACAAAATTAGTCTACGACGGGCCTACCCTGAGTTTGAGATCCTTGATATGCCAGACGCCAAGATCGCGACCATTCATGTCTTCCAAGACGTAAACTAATGGTGATCGTTTGACTTTTACGCGGCATTTTTGAAATTTAGGAGCCAACTTTTTACTAAAATGAGCATCTTTATCGCTCTGAAAGTAACAACGCTTCCAAACGATATCGCCCACATTAAACTCTGCATGTTTTCGGCGCAAGTTATAGTGTTGTGCGTTTTTTACATGAGCTTCCCATAAAGCAACCTGCACTTTATCGAATATTGGTGATAATTGGCCCAGGTTTGCAGCATAAGCGTCACGTGGTAGAAATATTAGGTTTGTTGGATCCGGATACTCGAGGTAATGAGAACCACAAACGACTAGCTCTCTTCCGTGTACCAAAAAGGATGGAGTATAACCAGTGCTTTCATTAACAGAATTATTAATAGCGAATTGGATTTGAGGAAGGTCTGAGTCCCAAGATCTATGATCCCCATCTACGAAACTGGAAACAGCAGTTATTATTGTTTTGTTGTATCTTTCTACTGTATTAATTTGTGGAGTGTACTTTGGAGTAAAATGTATGTTGGGAATTTTGTATTTTTCGAAAAGTTTATCTAAGTCTTTGCTAATAAACTGACTTCCATTATCAAGAATAACAGTTTGTGGAATTCCATGAACGAGAAAGACATCGTTCTCAAGATGTTTAACTATCAAATTCGAGGTGGCTCGACGAAGTGGGAAAAGAAAGCAATATTTAGAAAAGCAGCAAGTGACAACGAAAATAAACTGATTTTGTTTCCGGGAAGAAGGCAACGGACCAACCAAGTCAATTGATAGAACTTGGAAGGGACGAGAAACGTCTTTAGGCCTACCCATTTTTCCAGAGACACCATGGGTAGAATGTTTATGAGCTAGACATATTTCACAATTTGAAACAAATTGAACCACGCTAGAATACATACCGGGCCAATAAAATCGAAGTGCTAAGCGCTTATATGTCTTAAACACGCCGAAATGACCGGAAATAGGTTTAGAGTGGCACTCAATCAGAATATCTCCTTGTTGTTCTTTAGGAATAACCTTCTTCCAAGCAAACTCAACCGTAAGGTCTACCTTCGTCTTCATGTACCTGTATAATACATTATTCTCCACCTTGTAGTTTGGAAAATTTATAGGACTAGTCTGGCAACCCTGGAAGATCTTCCGGTACCAAGAATCCTGAGTATCAGGTACGGAAGCAGTGGAAGCATCAGCGTTTGAAATGGTCTCAACTGGCACACTTCTAGATAGGGCGTCCGGAACAACATTGTCTTTACCACGACGGTGTCTTATTTCAAAATTGAAAGAAGAAAGGCGAACTCCCCACCTTGCGAGCCGACCGGTTGGATTAGTGAGAGACATAAACCATTTAAGAGAAGAATGGTCAGTATAGACCAAAAAAGCTTTGTCGGTCTCAAGGTAACAGCGCCAGTATTCTAGAGCAGTAAGAACTGCAAGTGCCTCCCGTTCTGTTGTGCTGTAGTTCCTCTCCGGTTTACTCAAAGAACGGCTCATGTACGCAATTGGATGTTCCACACCATCTATTGTTTGAGCCAACATCGCACCGATACCGAAATTACTAGCATCAGTGTGCACTTCAAAAGGAAGGTTAAAGTCAGGGCAAGCAAGGACAGGTGCTTGAACTAGTTTAGTCTTTAATTCTAGGAAAGCCTTATCAGCCTCAGGGGTCCACTGAAAAGCAGGGGAGTTCTTTTTATTAGAAGTCAGCTTATTTAAAGGGCCTGCTACGGTACTGAATTGTGGAATAAAACGCCTATACCACGACGCCGTACCCAAAAAACGCTTAACCTCCTTCCTATTGACAGGAGTGGGAAAGTCTAATATGGCTTTGACTTTATCTGGGTCAGTTCTCAAGCCATGAGCATCCACTATGTAGCCAAGATACCGTAGCTGACTTCGAAAAAAGTGACACTTGTCTAGATTGACAGTGAGATTAGCCGATTGCAGTTTTTGAAAAACTTTCTGAAGCAGTTTTACGTGTTCCTCAAAAGTTTTGCTTATGATAATCACATCATCCAAGTATGCAAAGACTTTGAGTTCGAATTCAGGCCCGAATAAAAGATCGACAAGTCTCTGTTGCGTAGCAGGAGCATTGGTAAGTCCAAAAGCTGTGACCTTAAACATAAAAGTTCCTCGACCAGGAACATAAAAGGCCGTCTTCTCTCTGTCCTTTTCATCAATTAATATCTGCCAAAATGCTTTGGACAAATCTATGCTGGAAAGATAACGCGCATCCTTCAGATTATCTAAAATTTCAGACACATATGGAAGCTTATATGCGTCCTTCTTTGTTACCGCGTTCAATTTACGGCTGTCCAAGCAGAAGCGGGGCTTTCCATCCTTCTTACCCACGACTAGTACTGGAGAAGACCATGGACTCTCACAAGGTTCAATAACATCTAGTGCCAACATCTCATCAACCTGTTCAGCAACAATACGTTGCTTTTCTGGTGACATGCGGTAATATCGCTGACGGATAGGCTCAGCATTACCAGTATCTATGCGATGTTTAATGACGTTAGTACGACCTAAACCTATCTCTGTGTACGAGATGTCTTTGAAAAGATCTACCACGCTGTCCGCTAACAGTTTTTGAGGAGGGTTCAAAACGTCATAGCCACACAGATGCTGAGAAGATGACGAAGAAATTCCCAAGAGCCCAGGGTCGGTTGTAAATAAGTTTTTTTTTTCTGATAGATACTTAGGGCACAGGTTAAAAGTGTTCCAAAAATCGATTCCTAGGATTAAAACGGTTTCGATCGCTGGTATAACATGCGCCTTTATAATAGAAAACCTGTTTTCGAAGGTCAAAGGTAGAACAATATAACCAAGGGATGTTATCCTCTGACCTCCTGCTGCAGTAACAGTTATCCTCTCATCAGTGCATAGAATCAAACCTAGATTTATCAAAAGTTCATGAGAGTCCCTACCTAGGATAGTAACAGCGGAACCAGAATCCAACAAACCGTACAAAAATAAGTCTTTATTGATTCCCACCTTTGCATAAGGCCTGGGGTCGTTACTCGGTTTGACATTGAAAATTGTAGAAATATCTTTCCTAGAAAAGAAGTTTTCAACAAACATGAGCCAATCATTCCAGTCCGAGCTATCTGTATGAGTAACCGCATGCGTCCTACAATTTTCAGTTTTTAGTTTTTTTGGTTTGCAGTTTGGACAATCCGGTGTACGAACTTCCTTCATGCCACATTTAAAACAAAAAACTTTGCGCTCAGCCGTACAATCTCTCATAGAATGCGTGTTAACGCGGCAACGGTGACAGTAAGGAACCTTGGATATAACCGAAGTTTCGGCCTCAGAAGCCTGAATTTCGGAGACCTTGTGTGACCCCTGCTGGTGAGCACCCTCATACTTACGAGCGTAAAAATTTCCTTGGCCACTAGTCGTTGACTTACGCTTTGAAGACTGGTAGCCAAATTCAGGAGCCAAAGTATTAGTTAAACCGAAGGTGGTTCCTTGAAGAATTCTGAACGGACCTTAATACGTTCATAATTTTTACAGATTAATTTTAGATCTTCGAGGGATTTAATATTAGGGCTAGCAGCTATAATATTAGAGTAGGAAGGACGAATATTATGCAATATAATTTCAAGTTTTTCGTCTTCCTTTAAGGGTTTACTTAACCTAGAAAACATGCCATGCATTATGGATAAATAAACCGTAATGTTCTCTTCCTCGCCCTGTGTACGCTGGCGTATTTCTGAGACCATGCGATAGTCGTAGTCGGGTACATCAAAATCATCCTTCAACGCAGTCAGTACTTCGTTCCAACTACCGACACTGCCCCTGACGTTACGGTACCAGTGAAGTGCGTCACCCGTAAAAATATCGATAGCAGAACTTAGTATTTTGCTTTCGGTTATATTTTTGGACATACGGAATTCTTCAACCCTTTGAATAAACGATCTGACACAAGATTTGCCGTCATATTTTAATTTATTCAGTTCTCCTATTAGTCCGCGATCACATGAAATGGCGATATTCATTCCGGCTAAGTTAGATTTATCAGGTAATTCCTCCTCAGAAGTAACTGAAGACGCGGCTTGTTTCTGGTCCCTGACCTTTGACCTATCAAGGCTCAAAAGTATTTCATAATACCCTTCGTAAGTTTTCCTTAATTTCACTAAGTTGGCTAAATCATCTGCCGCCTGCGGTGTTTCAATTCGTTGAAGCCTATAGTATACATGGTGTAACATAGTTTTAGTCCTATTAAAAAGAGGTTCATCAAAATTAAGCTTTAAGGCATCAAGATTAGTCTTAACTTTCTCTAGCGTCTCTTGAGAGCCTTTGCTATCCTCTGAAAACTGATAAACCGAATCGACTACATCATCAGACGAATATAACTGTGTTAATTTAGTGACCTGACGTCTTAATCCAGCAACGCTGTCAGAAGGAAGTTCCCCTCGGATAGCCACCTCATACATCAGCTCAGACTTTTGGAGCAGTAGATATTTAATTGGCATTGCCATAACGAAAAGAAATTAAAAAATCAAGTAAAAAAATCAAAAACTGGGCAGGTTATGCACAATTATTTACACACATAAGCCAAGCAAAATCCGCCCTGTTACAATTCATACAAAGAACACAACACAAAAGCAAAACATAAAATAATGAACAGGTGAAGTCAGGTGAAACACACTAAGTTACTTTGGTTCAAACAACTTTAAATTTTTTTTTTCAATTACCTTAACTTCAAAAGTTAAGTTACAAGGTTCATATAAGTACATTTAAATAACAAGTCACTCAGTGCTTCGAAAAAAATTAAGCGAAACAGACAACACTACTAGGAAAACCACCACCGTATAGAACCACTAAAATGACCAAAACAAGTACGAAAGACCTTAAACCACGTTTTTGGGCGCCATTGTCACGTTTATAAGACGTGTACAAGAGAGAAATAAAACTAGGTTTAGAATTAATAAAGTATGTGGGTATATTAAAAAAAAATTGAAGGGTCTGCCTAGGTCTTTAGCACTTGCTTAGTTCTCCACACTTCCCTGGCGAGCTCCCGTCCTCCAGGCGTAGTTCCGTCAGCTCGGCCACTCCACTCAGGTGCTGTGACAGGTTCGTTGTCCGGTTCGGTTATTGAAACCGTGACGTAATTCCTGGTGACAAGGGCCACATCAGTAAGCTGCCGGTATAAGGGGTGCACGGGAAACGCTAGGTATGCATGGCAAGAACTACATTGGAAAATTAGGGCTTACAAGGCGGGAAGAATTCCAGGCGTGATTCTTAATCGACACTGTAGGTAATGGTCGCTAGCAGAGGCGGTTACAAGCATATAATAAGAACATAGTGAAGGAAAAGCAAAACATTACACAAGGATAGAAATTAATAAGCTACGATAGTTAGACAGGCCCGTACCTTAAGATTAACGCAACGAATATAAAAAAAGGTAGGTAATGGCCGTTAAAATTCTTTATATAAAATTGTGCACAACTTACCCAAGTTTGGGAATCACAATCACTTACAGGTACTTAATTTAGTTTAGTAGTATGGATAAGCAATCCAGTCTCAAAATATTTTATAATTATTTATGGCTTTATAATTCGCAATGACGGTAAGTATGCTAGTTATCAAAGCGACAGCGTCCGTGCCTCAAGAGGTTTGGCAGCGGAATGTCGTCTCGCTTGCGCTCGCGCCGGCTCGTCGCGCGGCCGGGTGGCGGGGCGCGGCGAAGAACCTGTTACTCCATATATATAAAATAATGCGGTTGTCCGCATCACTTAATTGTTACAATTTATTTTTAAGTTAATTAATATTTTTATTTTAATAATATTAGTTTTTTTTTTATTACTACTAAGTAGTTACTTACACTATGTTACAACATGCACACGCATATTTTTATCCGTGTGCATACGCGTGTGTGTTTATGCGTACGCACGCGTTTTTATGCACATTAATAATGGTGCAAAACTCCATTTTAAGTCTAGTAAAATCCTCTCTTTACTTTTTTCAAGGTAACAAAACCCAGCCGTTTAACAGAGGGAAACTTATAAACGTTGGTTTCGTTGAAGCAATCCGGTATAGAAAAGATGGGTACCAATGCATCATCCTTCATGACCCATACATTATACCCACGGATACTAGAAACCTCTACAGATGCAGCTGGTATCCCAGACAGCTTGCTACCTACGTTGAAAGACCTCAGAAGTAAAGCTCACGCAATATTTTTATTTTTCCCGCCCAAAAGCATAGAATGTTGCCATATTGTGGATTTTATTAGAAAAGTATTTTTGGTAGAAATTAGTGTTTTTAGTGTACCTTTTTAATGTAAAATAGGTAACGTTTCCTTAAGAAGATTTCAGAACAAGTTTAATAATTTTGTTAAATTACTTAAATGTCTTTCGAGAACTAAATATAGGAATAGTAATTTAATGTGTAACAGGCACCGATCTGCGAGTCCGTATCTCACATAAACAAAGTCAAAATAGCTACGTAATATTCTGTTTGTTCTAATATTTATATTATACACCACGACAGTGGCAAAAAAAGAACATGGCCCACCTGATGGTAAGCGGTTACCGTGGACTACGTACGCTTGCAATACTTAGGGCATGCGCCTTGCTGACCCTTGAAAAACCTATTTACTCCCTCTCCCTTCTTGAAGAACCCCATGTTGTAGCCTACTGAGAAAACCAAGGCAGGCAGTTCATTCCACAATCGAAGGGTCCGATACCCTTATCTTATTCATATTTTTACTTCCCAGACCTCCGTATATGCCAGTACTTGGAGGCGCAGTTGCAATAACTCCACAACAATTTATTAAGTTAAATGGATTTTCGAATAACTACTGGGGTAATGATGCAGACTATTACGATTTGCACTACAGGTAATACTATTTTCCAGACACGAATATTTTATTGCCCGCATATCTCATCATTATTTTTTTATTCGAAAAAAGTCATAATCATCAATAGATTGTGTCTATGATAGTTCGGTGCTGGACGAAGGACCCTCGTAATTATGAGGGTTGGTCATAATCATAATCTCCACGCGGACGAGGCTTAAAAGTTTCGGAGCCGGCTCCAATGAACCAACCAATCAGAGCGCCAAATGCAGTCTCGTTTCGATTACTTTTAACGTAAAACAAACTGAGTACCAAGCACGAATAACTATCGCAATCGTAACGTAATAGTATCGACCGCGTTAGGCACTCTGATTGGTTGGTTTACTGGAGCCGGCCAATCAGTACTCTGGTACTAAGGCCTCAAGTTCGACAAAAAGCGTGAAATGTGTAAGCAGTTCCCTACAACACTCACTAAGAATAGGAAACGTGACTAATTTATGCTAATCTCCTGTCACCACGACTCACGGGTGCTATATTATTAACTTATCAACACATAATATAATTCCATCGCATTTCAGGATAAACACTTCGAACTATCACGTCGAAAATAGTGTGCCGTTGTTTGGTAAATACAAGACTTTACGAAAAGGTTTAGCTTTGTGGCAAAAGTAAGTTGTATTTTTTGTTGAAAGTAATTTTTTATAATAACTATCGTGAGACATACTTAATTAACTAAAATCGCGGGTTACTCACTTGAATATACTGAGCGAGCTATATATACGAGTAAGCTGCGCGCTACGCTGCTCATGAGGAAGAACCCCTCTGTGATTCGAAACTAGTAGAGCTTTTCTCAGTATATTCACGTGAGTAACCGACTTATTAATTAAGGTGGAACTAATTTATTATAAATAATAAGGCTTTTCAGATAAAACGACTTGTTGTATACATTACTTAAATGATGAGTTTCTCCTCAGGTCTTCAGTTCTGGCACGGACGCTATCAGAATACTTACTAGATGGACTAACATCTTTGAAATATACCGTAGACAGTGTGGAACTCAAACGGTTATTTACATATTTCCAAGTAAACATCGATGCTGGAGCTCACAGTATTACAGACAAGATGACCAAAGAATACGATAAACGCTTGAATCTAAGCACCATGAAAGTATCATCGATGAAGTAGTTTGGATGTAAATAAACGAAATGCCTAAAAATTAGAATGTTTTAATTTAGCTAGTGTAGTTAGAGGAAAAAACTTATAATCATTGGTATTTTGCACTGACTCGTTGATCGAGTGGTCGCAAGTGCGACTGCCGTGCAAAAGGTTTCGGGTTCGATTCCCGGGACGGGCAAAGTATTAGGTACTGGGTTTTTTTTAAATTCTCAGTAGTAGCACGGAGCCCGGAACTGTGCCCGTTATATGGCAAAAGGTTCACCCCTAGGACTCATAACATAAATAGTGAAAAGTGGGTGATACATTGTACAGTGGCATAATGTGCACCTCTGCCTACCCCTTCGAGGATAAAAGGCGTGATGTTATGTTATGTTATTGGTATTTTTTAGAGTAGAGTATTTTGTAAGAGTGAGATAAACCGGCTGACGGATAACCTGATGGCCAGCAATCGGCGTCGCCGATGGATACCCGAATCCCTGAGGCATTACGAGTGCGTTGCCGGTCTTTTATGGGTTAGAAGTCTGAGGATTGTTGAGGATTCAGCGATTGGAAAGATTGGGGAGGGGTGATTGGGCCTAAGTGAAATATATGTATGAAATAGTTTTAGAAGCAGCTGTGAGTGATATTTTTAGTAGAATCTTTCTAGATCTAAGGAATAGGTACTGAATTTTTATATTTGATGGGCCGACATTTTGAATAGGGTTCAATCAAGCAATCATCTATTATTTGTTGTTTTACCGGAACTTCGCCTCCGACCAAAGAGTACTTATATTAAGTATAGGGAACCCTCCGACATATTTTTGAGAAGTAAGTTTCATGCCAATGGATGATGGACTTTTTTTATTGTTATGATATAAAATTAAGGTATGCAAAGAGGCTGAATACTAATTATTAGCCTATTTGATTGAGGTTCAACGAAAGTTTGAGACACTGGCACTGGGAAGGACGTATGAAAGATTGTTCTATCCCCGAAATCCCACGCGACAGGAACTACGTTAATCTTCTGGGGTCCTCTATTTTTTAAACCATTGAATATATTCGAGTGATATTCGGTACAACGACGCGACGATAGTTTGAGACTCAGAAAATGACGCCTGAGAGTCAACCGCTGTCTGTACCTATTTGATTGGAATTGAAATGGAGTTTTAATCAAATTGATTGCACGGTCGGCGCGGTGGTTGGACAACTGACTGCCGCGCAAGGTGTCGCGGGTTCGATTCCCGCACGGAACAATTCTTTGTGTGATCCACAGATTGTTGGTCCTGGTCTGGGTGTCACGTGTATGTGAACTTATATGTTTATAAACGCACCTACGACACAGGAGAAAACCCAACTGTAAAGGGGCAATGTTTAAAAAAAAAACACTGAGACCTCACGGAAATGGGTAAGTACTGTACGGGTAGAATAGCTGTGGGATTGTTTATTTTTTGAAATCACCAAAATGAACAACATTTCACAATAAATATAACTAATCGATGCTGATGAGATTTGTTCCATACCATTGGAATTAACCTTGGAAAAGAATAATAAAAAAATCTAAATTTTTCCAGAAATCATTATTGTACGTGGACGTAGTCACGGGGAATAGTTGATTAAATAAGTAATTGAAGCGTACTATCAATGTATGTACCTATTTTATTGAAATACAGATAGAATATTTTCATATATCCACTTTCACCTCCGCGAGGCAAAACTCCTCGCCTCCACATCCGCCTCCACGCCTCCGCATCCGCCTCCGCCTACGCTGAGGAGTCCTCCGTTACAACCCTAGTTTTTATTACCCCTATATTTTTTATACTCTGTATTTGACCACTATATCGCCAGGTGGTAAGCGATGATGCGGTCTACGATGGCGCACGTCGTCCCATAAAATCAACCTATTCACTCGGGCCTTGAAGATACCCAGGTTATACCCTTAAGGAATTACAGACTCTGACAAAGAATTCCACTTCAATTTATCAAGGAACACATACCCTATGATCAATAGGAACCAAGCTACAGGTGAAACCGCATAGGAGTTGCTAATAATGACAGGTATTCAAAGGTTTTTTTCAAAGTTTTCTGCACAAGTTCTTCTGTGTACTGGATTGCTTAGTATGATTTACCCATGACGAGAGAAATGCTTGTGTTATCATTATGTACTTCTCTTCTTTAGTAACCAAATTATTCTATGCGGGAATTCAATCGGAAAAGTTTACACCACTGTGCCTACTGTTAGTCACTCAATATTCTTTATCTTAGTTATGTTTCTAGTCACATTCCAATAGTCTATTGGGTCAATCTTACTTATACCTTCTTATTAGAATATTATTAGAAAAGCCAGTTGTAAGCTAGTTCTTATGTTTGGTTTGTGGATCACAAGGAACACTTAATAAGCACGACTCGGGCTCAAGCACGGCTCCGGCATAGCATTTTCTGCTTTGCAACAATACAAATAGGCTTTAAGCGGGCCCCCGCGCTCTGGCATCGCTTCTTTCACTGCTTAGCAGTACGCACAAGGTACTGCTAGTTTTTACTATTACATGGTACATCAAGGAAGGACGTTGAAAACTGATTAAAATTTTTTTTAACGAACCTTGAATTTAGTTTCTTTTTTTAGTAGGTTTTTATGTGCTGCCCACACTATTTTTGACAGTAACATGTACTTACATACACGACAGAACCATGGGTGATTTTCGGATTCATGACTCTGCTACACGACAAATGTTATAAATGCAAATTATGCTGTCTCTTTCGCACTACAGATTTACGGCTATATTTACTCTTGTCTCTCACGAACACTATCCTAAAATTTAAACGGGTAACAGAGTAAAATATTACGTCATCTCGTCAGCCGTCATTTCAAATGACAAATGAAAATAAAAAAATACTATGGCCTGTATTGTCTAATTTTGTATTGTGATAAAAGGAAAACGCTGAAAATTATTATTTTTAATGATTTCAATGGTATCATGATAAGTGTATTAACTAAATAAAACGATAACGATGGCTTTTTTGGAGGTAATTATGGAATAATAATTAATATGAGCTACATAATTAATGAAATGAGTGGTACCAATGTTGTTGCTGTACTTTTTGTTTGTAATGTACATTTATACAGCGCCTATCTTACGTTATTTTGCGTTTCACGACACTAGAGACTTAAAAAACCACAATGAATTTTAACATGATGCCTATAAACCGTATATTTACATCTAAAAACGTGCTTGATTTGCAGTGGAGGAAATTTTCATTTTTCGACATTCATAAGAACGTCGACAACGGGAAAGTAGCTGAGTGCTTGCAAGTAAGTGATTTGGTGTTATATTCCACTGACCATAACGTATATGAGCACTTATTTTAATTAGCAATACTTGTTTTTGTTTGTTGAATACATTAGTACATAGAAACCTCCCCCTTATAGTCCGATATTCTTTCCTCTTGCCAGTAGGTATTAAACTAGCATGCTACTACTGAAACATCTACCTAAACATTATGCTTTATTTACCTGCACTGTTATATTATATTGTAAAGTTATATTACACCTTTTTTCAATCTAACTAGATGGAATACCGAATAATAATGAAATGACACCCACTTTTCGTCTGTTCTAATAACAATATTTGAAATTAATAGTTCTCAATGTTGGTCAAATAATAAACAATATTTAAAGTCAACATCTTTACCTACTCATTAAGTTACTTACATATTGACTAAGTAGTATAACATAATGAAGTCATTACACTATCATTATTATTGAAATTAAAGCAGGTAAATTAAATACACAAATGATTTTCCAACAATAAGTATGTCATAATGTAGTTAATGTAAGACACTAAATGTCATCTCACTCCTGACAAGCACAGCTTCGGTACGGCTCCAACACAGCAATTACATATGAACTTTAAATCTCATGTCAACAGACATAATTTTATAATGTCAATATGAATAAGCGATGCCTGAGCTCGGGCAGCACACTTACAACCTATTTGTATTGTTGCAAAGCAAAAAAGCCGTGCTTGAGCCCGAGTCGTGCATTGTGGTGTGCCTTGTGATCCACAAAGCTAACATAAGAACTAGCTTGGAACTGGTTTCTATAATAACATTCTAATAAGAAGGTATAAGAAAGATTGACTCATTAGACTATTGGAATGTGACTATAAACATAAATATGATAAAGAATATTGAGTGACTCAGTAGGCACAGTGTTGTAAACTTTGCCGATTGAATTGCCGCATAGAACAATTTGGTTGTGTATTCTACAATTTGGTTACCTACTAAATTACAAAAGTACATAAAACACAATCATTATTCTCGTCATGGGTAAATCATATAAAGCAATCCAGAACACAGAAAAAAAATTACTGAACAGAGAACTTTGAAAAATATAATATACCTGTCATTATTAGCTACTCCTATGAAGTTGCACCTGTTGCTTAGCTCCTATTGATCGTAATAAATGTATTCCTTGATAAATTTAAGTGGAATTCTTTCGTCTGTATTTCCTTATATATACTCCGGCCGAGTTAATAGGTTGCTTATGGGATGACGTGCTCCATCGTAGACCGCATCATCGCTTACCACCAGGCGAGATAGTGGTCAAATGTTGGCCCATCAAACATAAAAAAATTTCCAACACAATAATTATTGAATTCAAACCATTACTTTCGGATCTTATTCTTTTATTTTATTTCCAGGACACGCATGTAACAGCTACAACAAGTGGTAACGGTCATGTTGTCCTGTGTGATGTTACGGGCTGGGCCCATCTCATCTCTCGGTCATGGGAGATCACCTCGTTCAAAGCGTATGAGTTGACCGTGACATTAGCTCAGCAATTACCTCATGATCCTTATCTTGTTACCATTGGGGTGAGTTTGCTTTGATTGTTAAATACTTGAGTTATTTTTCCAAATGTTTGAAAGATTTATAGTATAGGCAACAGATTAACAATAATTTTTTAGAACTGCCATACATATTTAAAGGAAATATTGATAAAAGGATTGTATTTAAAGTAATGGCGTACCATGAGTATCTGAAAGAGGTATACGAAAACTAAGTGTTGATTTTAAGAGGTGGATTATTAAAATAAACTGTTTAGAATACAGAAAAATATAGTTTTATAGAGCAAGACTTTTACATACAGCAATCAGAGAAAAAACGCGGGAGAGAGAATAAAAAAAAATGTGGCCAACCTAACAGTAACAATTATTGCCAACAGAACAAAATAAAGGTTGCGTTCTCAAATACCAACACTAGGGAAATTATATTTATACTTCACTTTTCGTAATAATTACTGTATAATTCCAGGATGATGAGACTGGAGTGCTACCACTGATCAAGGTATGGGACTGGTCGCGCAGGGACCGGCACGGGAACCCAACCTGCACGCGAGTATCTCGCGCTGTACCATCACACATGAAGCCGACGCCTGCCACAGCTCTTGCTGTCCATGAAAATAAGGTATTATATGTTTAAGTACTGGTTAATGTACAGTCAAAGGTCAAAAGTGTCACCGTGAGTAATGTTCACACGGCAATGCGTAAGTAATTTCATATTACATAACATCACGCCTTTTATCCTCGAAGGGGTTTTTTTTAAGGGGTGAAAATCATCAAACCACTGCTGTGTCAGACTCTTACTGACTAAAAACCATCCCGTTCCTTCTCCTGCACATCGAGCCGGACCCCGGTTACCCGTTAGGTTCTCCGCGACATCCTCGAAGGGGTAAGCAGAGGTGCACATTATACCATTGTACAATGTAACACCCACTTTTCACTATTTATGTTAAGAGTCCCATGTAATAGGGGGTGAGCCTATTGCCATATACCGGGCACAGTTCCAGACTCCGTGCTACTACTGAGAAGTTTTTAAAAACCCATTAGTACTTTGCCCGACCCGGGAATCGAACCCGAGACCCCTTACCCGGCAATCGCAATTGCGACCACTCAGCCAACGAGGCAGTTTCATATTAATTCATATTAATATGAAACTGCAGTAATTTCATATTAATGTGCATAAATACGCGTGCGTACGCATAAACACACGCACGCGTACGCACACGGATTAAAATATGCGTGTGCATGTGTGTATAAGCGCTGCAGCGCAACCGATAGTAGTCTTACGATGGCAGTGGACTTTTGACCTTTGACCGTACACTCTTCCAATGACTTTCGTCTTGGCTGAGGAAAGTGTCAGACATTAATTTACTGACTAAGATGTACCTAGTTCCTAATCTTGCTTCTAACTCCGTAACCCTGGAAACCCGCTAGATCTTCTGCGGGCGGCAATAGAATTTGGAGCAGATATCTCCAACCGATTGTTGAAAAATTGTATACATGTTTAGTTCACATGTCCATGAATGCTTGCTTTTTAAATTATTTTCATTAAAATTGGTTAAAGTCATATTATGTTGGTTTGTTTTCAGAATCTATTAGCAGTTGGTTTCCTGGACGGGTCGGTGTCACTGTTCCGTGGCGACATCGCGCGGCAACGTAGCGGTAAAATGAGGACTTTGCCTGACACGGGCACTAGTCCTATTACAGCACTCGCGTTTAAGTACGTATAGCGATGTTTAGTATTGGTATTATATATATACCTTGAGACATACTAAATAAATTATTATGTTTTCGACTTACTCGCGTAATTATTTGACGAGGAATTTGACCTGCGACGCTGCGACTGTCGCACTGCTACTGGTCGCGAAATGCTGTTCATGAATATGAGCCTCTAGCATGGCTTGAAACTAGTCGAGTTCCTCGTCAAATAATTACGTGATGTTTAATATTGATTTAATTCATTAAAACAATGTTGGTTACACATTATTTGACCAAATGTCATGTATGCATTACACAACACAATCACAGTTTGATTTTCTAAACAAATAAAAGAAATATAAATTAATTAATCTGTAGCGACAGCAGAGTAGAATACATAATTATTATATACATACATAAAAAATATTTTTGACAAGTCTTCCTGCAGGTAAGCTCCAGTAAGAGCCAACATATAGCCCATTGATGATAACGACTATTGTCTTAGTGACAATATTTCTGTCTTTGTTTTTTCAATTCACCGAGGAAAATGGGAACTATTTAATTTTACTTCGCCTCTGATAATATCTTCTGATTTATTTTGTTGCGGATCAAAACAGTTATTCGGGTCCCTGGGACGTGCCGGACAGTGTTCAGGTGTTTTCATGGTTGTATCTACTGTAGATCCTGGCTTACAGGAGTTGCAGCAGTTTTTAGAGGGTGTGTTGGGCTTGTTCCAAATACAAACGGTTTTTTTTATGAAATCTAGGACTCTTATTTATTTTTATTTATTTATTTAATATGCTTCATGCGCAAATGAACAAATAGGTGGTCTTAATGCCGCAGGCATTTTCTACCATTCTGACCTTTGGGTGATGCAGATAACAGTAAATCGTAGGTGCAAGAGTAGTATATTTCAGAGATATACATAAATAAATATAATTATAATATATAACCTACACACGAGTACAATAAACCTACATACATAATATATAAATATATACTTATGAAGACATATTAAGCATATTTAGTGAAGTAAATGTACGTTTGCATGTCCAGAGGCGCGGACAAGCTGTACGTGGTGTCCCGCGCGGCCGTGAGCGTGGTGTGGCTGGGCGTGGAGCGCTGCGTGGCGCTGGACTGCATGGGCGCCGCGCCCGCCTGCGCCGTGCTCGCCGACAGCCAGAGGCTCACCATCGCCAACAACGAGGTACCGCATACGCATCACATTATTAAAGCTTAAAGCTTATCATATATAGCCAAACAAAATTCAACTATGAGTCAGGGCGAACAATTTAGCTATGAGGATGTTTGTCCAATCATTGTAGCTGACAAGAATACGGTAAGAAAATTAAAAATGTTATTAGTTCGTGAGTTAAGTAATGAAATATTAGACACGTATTTATTTATTTTCTCGTATAAAGTTACAATACTTAGATATAATGGCATTAAGTTTAGGCGTAGGTGATCGTTACGTCACACGACATTTCAAATTAATATATCGTCGAAAGTGTTTGCTTTTTTGTGACTTTCTGTGACTGCCTCATTGGCCGAGTGATCGCAAGTCCGAATGCCAGTTCGATGCCCGGATCGGACAAAGTATTACTAGGTTTGAAAAAACCTCAGTAGTAGCACGGAGTCTGGAAATGTGCCCGGTATGTGGCAATAGGCTTAACCCCTATTACATGGGACTCATAACGTAAATAGTGAAAATTGGGTGTTACATTGTACAGTAGCATTAAGTGCCGTAATGTATGCACCTCTGCCTACCCTCTCGGGGATAAAAGGCGTGATATTATGTTATGTTACTATTAGAGTATTTTTTGCATCAAACACTGTATATATATACCTCATTTATAGCCTATATTAAAACTATATCCGTTTCCCCAGGCTCTCTACGTGTACACAACGGAAGGCCGAGGTCCTTGTTACGCCCTCGAAGGGGAGAAGGTTCGGCTCGACTGGTTCCGAAGCTACCTGGTAATCACCAGGAATGAGAGTCCAAGCAAGTCTACAGCATCCACAAGCACCGCACCAATCCCCAAGTCCCACCATATCACCATACTTGACATACAAAACAAATTCATAGTTTTCTCAAAAGCCTTCGAAGAAATCGACGCCGTGTTAACAGAATGGGGTTCTTTTTATATTCTGACGAAGAATAAAGAAATGATATACTTAGAAGAGAAGGATTTGCAGTCGAAACTGACGTTGTTGTTCAAAAAGAATCTTTATGATGTTGCTATTAGGATCGCTAGTAGCCAGCATTATGATGAGGCTGGGCTCACTGAGATCTACAAGCAGTATGGTGATCATTTGTATAGCAAGGTGAGTCATTGTGTTACTTGATTTATTGTCTTACATGACTATAAGCGGGATAAAGCCAAGAAATTCCCTTTTTTACCAACCTCTTCTAAAGAAACTTAAACTGCACAGCTCCCGAGTGATCACCGGTGACAACTCTCCACTTAATCCATTATTGGCCTTATTTCCGATGTTTAGAGACTACTTTTGCATGGACATTTTTTTCATAATCGGAGATTATGAAGTTAAGCTAGATAGGTGTCATTTAACGATATTTTGGTTTTCCTATCAATGCCAGCTAACACTACTAGGGCCGATTTTTCAATGACCTTTAAAATTTTATCAGAGGAATTCTTTCATAGTAAAAACTGTCAAATGTCAATTTATCCAACAGCTAAGAATCAATGTTTCAATGAACAGTTGGAGTTTCTTGCTCGTTCTTCTCCATTTGAATCTACATTTTGGAATGAGCACCTAGCTTCACCTAGTTTCACTGACGGACTGACTGACAGACTATTATTTATTTTGTATTTGTTGACGTTTCAAAAGTACCAGGTTTAATTGAAATAAATACTTTGACTTTGAACAGATTTCATTGAAAAATCGACCATAAGTAAGGTACTTTAGGTGCTAGTTCACTCTTCATTAATGAATCCATGAATTTGTTAAAAACATTGTTTAACGTTTTACAGGGAGACTTGAAAGGCGCAATAGAGCAATATGTCAAAACTATTGGTTGGCTGGAAACCTCATACGTCATTCGCAAGTATCTGGAGTCTCGACACTTGGAGCCCCTGGTACAATACTTGGAGGAACTACACAAGAAGAAAGGATGTGCCACTGAAGACCACACCACCTTACTCCTCACTTGTTATATGAAGATAGACCAGCATGACCACCAAGGGAAACTCAAGGAGTTCATCAATTCCAAGGATAAAGCCATCGATTTTGATGTCGATGTTGCTATAAAGGTATGTTTTTATAAAACAATAGTTTACGGGGACTCCGTTGCCGTGTCGAACAATGCATTACTGAGAAATATATAATAATAATAATAAATCTTTATTCATTATAAGAAATTGGTCATATTACAGATAAACATCTTAATTTAAAATCAGAGATCACACTAGGTTTAATGCCTGTACTAGGAAGAATATCCTGTACCACAGGCGAGAGGAGCACTCACAATAATACTAATTCTAGGACAAGTTATTTATATAAACAAATTCCGTAACATAAGTAATCGATCAAAAGTAAAGTAAAGTTGCTTATAATAAATAGGCTTAAACTTTATTACATGGGACTCAGAATATTGTCTCCTTTACTGTCGACTAGATTATCAATCTTAATTTTTTATACTTAAGTAAAAAATGAAATATGAAATATGTTAAAAATGACTGCCTCGTTAGCCAAGTGCGACTGCCGGGCAAGGGGTCTCGGGTTCGATTCCCGGGTCGGCCAAATTATTACTGGATTTTTTTCAATTCTTAGAGTAGCACGGAGTCTGGAATTGTGCCCGGTATATGGCAATAGACTTAATACACTCACGACCTATTACATGAAACTCGTAACATATATAGGGAAAGTAGGTGTTACATTACAATGGCATTAAGTGCCGTTATGTGAACCTCTGCTTACCCCTTCGGGGATAAAAGACGTGATGATATGGTATTTGTTAAGTAAAAAATCGAACTATCCTACTAACCCGTCCTCCTGTTCCCGTAGGATTTTCAGGGTTTTTTTTCTGTCATAAGAACCTTCGTCTGACAATAACAAACACAACAAAAAATCTGTCAAATCAGTCCACCCGTTCTCAAGTTATGGCGTGACAACTGGAAACGGGTTTCATTTTTATATAATATTCGAGTTTGTGAGAAGTAATGAATGTATATTTGGTACCCTTTACGCTAAAGCTATTGGACGGACTTGAATTTAATAGAGAGATACATAGTTAAATTTTTGACGCATGCGGGTGAAACTAGTTCTTAGCACACATTTGGTTTTCCAGGTGATGCGTCAAGTAAGCGTGGACGACGCGTTATCTCTAGCGGCGAACTACAAGCGTCATGACTGGTACCTAAAGATGATGTTGGAGGACAAAAAGGATTACCGCCAGGCGTTGGATTACATAGTTGAACTGGAGTTTGAGGATGCTGATATGTATATGAAGAAATACGGACATAGACTCATACAGCATGAGCCGAGGGAGAGCACCAACTTCTTGAAATGTGAGTGACGCTAAGTTTTTTTTTTATTGCATAAGCCGGTAAACGAGCAGACGGATCACCTGATAGTAAGCAATCGGCGCCGCCCATGGACACTCGAAACACTAAGGCGTTACAAGTGCGTTACCGGCCTTTTGGGAATTGGGAATTTGAGGATTGTTGAGGATTCGGGGATTCGGGAGACGGGGACTAGAGAGGGGTAATTGGGCCTCCGGTAACCTCACTCACACGACGAAACACAACGCAAGCATTGTTTGACGTCGGTTTTCTGTGAGGCCGTGGTATCACTCCGGTCGAGTCGGCCCATTCGTGCCGAAGCATGACTCTCCCACACTTATTATAAGTAGATGGATATTCTTGAGTTAAAGTGACCTAAATTACTCCTTAGTATGTCAGCTTGCTGCCTATAAAATTCCCGCCAAAGTCGGTCCAACTATTTTAGAGATATTGTTTAAGGTTTAGTGTTTCTTTTTAACATTTAAACCTGGTGTGCTAAAATCATCATAGGTTTGATAGTGTTATCAAAGTCAAAGCATTTATTTCAAATAATCCTAAATTAGGCACTTTTGAAACGTCAAAAATTTTATAAGTACCCATTGTTGAGCAAAGGCCTCTTCTCATATGAAGAAAGAAATAGCATTAATCACCACGCCTGATCAATGCGGGCTGGCGATTTCAAACTTATATTAGAATAAGCCTGGGTTTGCTTACGATGTTTACCTTCACCGTTTGTAAGTGTTGTCTAATTAATTTTAGAAATTACGTACGATTCGGAATAAAATCACATTGATACTTGATTAAGTGATAAATTAATAACTATTATAAAACTGGCACGGTATAAAACCTAATGGGTCTTCTGTAATACATTTAATTTCGAAATTAATATACAACTAACATGGCTGAATAAACATTTATAATCTTCTTCCTTTCCCACAGTACTATGCACAGACTACAAACCCCGCAGCAAGCCGCTGGTGGACGAGGCCTCACTGTCAGGGGGCGGCGTCCGAGCCTCGGCCTCCGCCCTCCCAGACGAATACATACATATGTTCCTCGCTAACTCGGAGCGCCTCATCGACTTCCTTGAACATATGATCAAGACACGAGATGATTGCTTCAACCTTGTCTACGATGCTTTAATCGAACATTATATACATGTTTGGTGAGTTTTTGTTTAATAAAATCACTACATAGTATAGAACAAAGTCGCTGTCCGCCGTCTGTCTGTCCCTATGTATGTTTAGATCTTTAAAACTACGCAACGGATTTTGATGCGGTTTTTGTTTAATAGATAGAGTGATTTTTAAGGAGGGTTTATATGTATAATACATGCATATTGCACCCGTGCGAAGCCGGGGCGGGTCGCTAGTACAAAATATAATTATTTTCACTAATAACCCTGTTAGATTCATTATGTTCTACAGCTTGTTCTTGTAACTAGACGACGACGTGGTGACTCGATTAGTGTCAATGCAGTCCAGGGTCTATAATAGAAATAAGAAGCATTATTTGATAAAAATATCATAAACAAAAAGTATTTGGAAACAAAAATTTGTTCAAAATCGTTTAAAAGTGTATTTCATGCCATGAAAAGTCGATTTACTTGTGGTAAATCAACGTTTTCAACCGTCGACTGCGCGGCTTATCACATTTTCAGTCCAATATGTTACCGCGATACAACCGCGTCAGGTGATTCGAACCGCCTAAACGGTCAACCGTTCGCGCTTGGGAGCTTACTATACCTCTAATACTCCTTTCGATCCAGGGCAAAATCTCCAGAGAGTGAAAAGAAGGAATATGAGGAGAAGATACTGGGAGTGCTGAAGAACCCGGAGGCCAAGTATGACAAGGACCAGACGCTCATCATATGTCAGATGCTCGGCTTCCAGGCCGGAGTGTTGTACCTATACGAGGAGAATAAACTGTAAGTCACTTCTGCTGTTCACAAGTCTTTAACTTGCAATGTAGATAAATATGTTTGTGAAGTGAAATATACAAATAATATGTTGGAGTTTGCGTAACTTCCCGTTTTTGCTATGGTGGTGAGCAATCGGCGTCGTAGTGAGTAATCCTTTTATTATGATCCCAATATATATACAAGCTGTTGTTTTAAAGCCGCGTCATTTTCTAGGAGGTAACTCGGCTATCGATCGAGTCCGAATCAATAAAAAAAATGTAGGTAAATATTTTTATTTTTTTTTTTTGTAAATTACGGAAATCCGTAAGTGCGAACTACACGCCGCCGTTTTGTAACTAGCTTTATAACGCGGCTTAACACACACAAACTCAAACACGTAATTAATATTATTTCTAATTCCATAAAACTCCAATAAGAAACTTTGCTGTCACTTATTCTGAAATACTGTCGAACTTAAATGATTTATTATAGCCGTATTTTTAATAACTATTGGCCCGAAACTTTCTCTTACATTGAACCTTTATGACTTCTGTGACATGCCCCCGAGAAGTGTCACGGTTTCAAAACTACACCTTGTACCTTTTGACAATTCTGAATTCATTTTGATCTTATTATTATGTATATTTTTCATAATATGTCTTCTGGGTGTCCGAACTTGATCAAATTGATTTGTTACATAATATTATCTGAACTTTCCTTAATTTTATCATAGTTTTTAAGAACGAGGATTATGTTTAATAAATTGTACATAAAATAATAAAAACTCATTTAAAAAACCGACTTTAAGAAACTATTGTGGCGACGCATGCCACATGTCAACGGATGACGTCATAAGAATCCTACATCGCACATGCAAAGTTTACAAGCGAATAAACACGGATAGAAAATCCCAACGAACAACTGTTGGGCAGAAAGCCCGCCAGGCACGATCACCTCGCCTGGTCGGAGGATCCTCCTTTTCCGATCTTAGGGAACTATACTCTATGTTCCCTAAACTATAAACTAACAAAAAGTATAAACTAAATAGCAAAAAGTAACTATTATTAGTACTACTAGTACTAGTATTCATTAAAACCTTAATAAACACCTAATTAAGTTGTTTACAATTTTGTGACCACTCAGTTATATAATTTTGATATGAAAATGAGATCCTCTCGGAAGTATAACCTTTTGAACAAAACATGAATTTTGGAAATCAGTTCATAAATGGCGTAGCAATCGGCGCACAAAAAAAAACAATCATCCGAACATAGTACCTCCTCCTTTTTTTGCAGTCAGTTTTAACACCTTTATTTAGTAATATAGGTACATATACCTAGTAATCCCAATGGACAATGATTCCCCCCGTCAGTTGGCGTGCCCAGGTAGCCCTCCACCTGCGCGGCGGCGACGCGGAGGGCGCGCTGAGCGTGTGCCGGCGGCGCGGCGCGCTGTGTCCGCGGCTCTGGCTCGACGTCCTCGGGGCCTCGCCGCCTGCCTCGGCGCTTCCCGAGCTACTCAATGTTATAGGTACTTTACTGCAAATTTAGTTATTACATACATACATAACTTCACGCCTGTCTCCTATGGGGGTAGGCATAGACTAGGGAACGCCAATTACTACGATTCCTACATACATATAACATATTTAGTTATTATATTTTTTTATGGTATAAGCCGGTAAACGAGCAGATAGATTCACCTGATGGTAAGTAATCGGCGTCGCCCATGGACACCTGAAACAACAGAGCCGTTATTAGTGCCTTACCGAGCTTTTGGGGATTAGGAGCTTGAGGATTGTTGGGGATTCAGGGGTTGGGGAGATTGGGGCAGAGGGGGGCCTCTGCCCCAATCTCCCCAACCCCTGAATCCGGTGAGGTGAAATTAGGCTTATTATGGTTAAAAAATATGTTCCCTTATATTTTAGCAATGACTATCGTAGAAATAATAATACACACACAAACATAATACATATTCAGAAGACGTATTGATTTTATTTTGGTAGCAATCTCAAGTGCTGAGATAAAAGACACATCTTCTCTAGTTTATACGCCAAGACAAAAGATCAATTGAAGCCTATCTATAAAACTTTATTCGATCTTGAACTTTATAATTTTGATATAAAGTATACCTGTATTATAACCTTCGTGAGACATACTAAATAAATTATTATGTTTCCGGCTTACTTACGTAATTATTTGACGAGGAACTCGACTAGTTTCAAGTCATGCTAGAGGCTCATACTCATGAGCAGCATTTCGCGACTTCGCGACGCGGCGACTGTCGTCATCATCATCATGTCGATCATCATCATAATAATGTATAAAGTATACCATGCAAAATTACAAATTGTTGTTTTATCTCCTGGCCAGGAGTATTCCAATGAAAGTCTGTCATACGGAAAATTGGGTACTTGCCAACAAGATAAATTCAATACTTTTCTCTAACTGTCAAAACGACAGTTTTCTATGAATTTTGACGTCACGTTTAATAGCATCAAACAGCACATATATTTCTTAAAAATTTGCTGTAAAAATACTAAAATTAAGTTGGTCATAAAATCAATTAATGTATGTGTGATTATGTTTCAATATTTTATTGTATTAAACAGGCGAAGTAATTTATTTTTGATTAAGGAAAATACCCAATCGGTAATCAAACTCATGAATCTTAAGATATCATTAAACAACGATTTAAAATAAAAATAAGTCAAAATATTTTTTAAGAAACCATTTTTCTTATTGGCCTATTCGCCCTTTCAATACTTGTCTAAATAGTATTCTTTTGGGTAGTTTACTTTTTCTCAGCTCTGAAAGCTGGTATTCACCTACATTCACGGGCCAGGACCAAGTGAATATAGGGTGTGGTGTGTAATTATGTATTTGTGGTGTGTATTCTTATTATTATTTTGTCTACAGCCAACGAGAAGCTACTGTCTCCTATTCTAGTGGTGGACTGTCTCGCTAGCACGCCCACATACACATTAGGAGACGTCAGGAAGTAAGTAACTCTTGGACAAGCATATTTAGTATTGTGATAGACCTTTGATGTATCAATGAATAAGGTAATATTTATTTTATTCTCCTGTAAATAATTACTGGATGTAGATTGCTCCCTACCGGCGGATCTGATAGTCAGTAGGGGAGGCGTATGTTCAGCAGTGGAACGTCTTTTTTGTATTAAATAAATACCAACAATTTGCTTCAGTTTCGTTTGGTTTTCGGATGCCGAAGTTAAATCTTAGATCTTAAGTAATAAAGCTCAAATTACATTGAGAGCTAATACTTACTAATATTATAAATCGGAAAGTGAGTTTGTTTGTTTGTTTGTTCCGCTTTAACGCCGTAACTACTGAACCGATTGCTTTGAATTTTTGCAGACGTAAAGTTAGAATTCTGGATCAAATAATAGGATACTTTTTATCTCGGATTTTTTTTTATTCTCGAGGGAAAACGAAATTATTGGTATAGATGGCGCTGTGTTTATTAGCATATGTCACATAGGCTTTTATAATTTTGTGATGCGTGCGAAGCTGCGGGTAAAAGCTAATTGTAATATATAGAAAGTCATCAGACATATATGTTAATGAAATATCAACCGTAGGTACTTGACAGACGTGTTGAAGTCGGAGGCGGCGGTGATCTCCCGCGAGCAGGAGCTGTCGGCGAAGTACCGCGCGGAGAGCGGGCGCATGAAGGCGCAGGCGCGCGCGCTGCAGGAGCGGCCCGTCGTGCTGCAGGCCAGTCGCTGCGCCGTCTGCAACAAGCCGCTCGAGCTGCCCACCATGCACTTCTTGTGCCAGCACTCCTTCCACCAGAGGTAAACAAACACAAGCATTGGACCAACTATTGGTTTCAACAGATAGAAAGACATGCCTTTAGGCTTAATTCATTCTGTCTCCTGCAGTAATTCACCGAGGGAAGTGGAAACCATAGTATTTCTTCTTCTCCTCTTATAATATCTTCTGATTCACTTCGTTGCGGGAACCAAGACAGTTACTCATGTCCCTGGGACGCGCCGGACTTCAGTGTTCCGGTGTTTTCATGGTTCTATCTACTGTAGATCCTGGCTTACAGGAGTTGCAGCTGTTTTGGGAGGTTGTGGCGGGCTTGTCCCATAAAAAAAGACAGAAAGACAAAGATAAAGATTTTCTAAATGAAACACTGATTGTCGTTGAATCGGTCTGTGGCATCTTTTAAAAGAATTGTTTTTTTTTTCTTTGCAATGTTCAGTTGGTTTTTATTAGGTGTATCAATACATACATACATAACTTCACGCCTGTCTCCCATGGGAGGCAGAGACTATGGAATGCCAATTACTACGATTCCTACATACCTCTTTCGCTCCATCAAGAGTTATCAATATTTTTATGCATGCTCGTCGGTTAAGGGTACTTTTAATTTGGCCCTTCTTTAATATATCGCCAATCTGGTCACTATACGTCCGTCTAGGGCGCCCTCTACCGACAGCCCCATTCATATCCGCTCTGTATACTTCTTTTGTTACTCTATTTTCATCTATCTTTTCTATGTAAACCTTCAAACCCTACTTATATCCTCAAATATACTAACAAACCTATTTATATTTCTAATGTATCCTCCAACCTTACTTATATCAATTTAAATAATGTTTGAAGGTTTCAAAGTGTTGAAGAAAGTAAGGGGTTTATTTTAATTAGTAACTGCAGATTTAAATAAAAATAGTTGTTAATCTACGGTAATTCCATTAAAATAGTTTGCTGCAATTTAATATATAATCAAATAGATAGAATGTTTGCTAAAAATACGCTTCTAAAGACTTTTTGATATTAGACTATTTGATATTATATGTTTTCGTTAAAAACCAAAGGAAAAAAAAATAACCTAAAACCGAAAAAGTCAATTTTGGAAATGTATTTGTAATGCTTTCATAACTGAATTGCTTAACTACAGCCTTTGTCACGGAATATCTCTACTTTGACCGGAACAATCTCTTGTTATATCGTTATGTCTTCTCCCACCATCCTAAATAAGTATACTGTTTCAGCTGCTTCACGACGTACGCGGAGTCCGAGAGCGAGTGCCTCGTGTGTGCGGCGTCACGGCGCCGCCCCGACGCCGCGCCCCACGCCGCCGAGGCCCTGCACGCGCGGATACATAACGAGCACGACCCGTGAGTACACTACATTCATATAATGCGCCGCACGCCGCCGAGGCCCTGCACGCGCGGATACATAACGAGCACGACCCGTGAGTACACTACATTCATATAATGCGCCGCACGCCGCCGAGGCCCTGCACGCGCGGATACATAACGAGCACGACCCGTGAGTACACTACATTCATATAATGCGCCGCACGCCGCCGAGGCCCTGCACGCGCGGATACATAACGAGCACGACCCGTGAGTACACTACATTCATATAATGCGCCGCACGCCGCCGAGGCCCTGCACGCGCGGATACATAACGAGCACGACCGTGAGTACACTACATTCATATAATGCGCCGCACGCCGCCGAGGCCCTGCACGCGCGGATACATAACGAGCACGACCCGTGAGTACACTACATTCATATAATGCGCCGCACGCCGCCGAGGCCCTGCACGCGCGGATACATAACGAGCACGACCCGTGAGTACACTACATTCATATAATGCGCCGCACGCCGCCGAGGCCCTGCACGCGCGGATACATAACGAGCACGACCCGTGAGTACACTACATTCATATAATGCGCCGCACGCCGCCGAGGCCCTGCACGCGCGGATACATAACGAGCACGACCCGTGAGTACACTACATTCATATAATGCGCCGCACGCCGCCGAGGCCCTGCACGCGCGGATACATAACGAGCACGACCCGTGAGTACACTACATTCATATAATGCGCCCCACGCCGCCGAGGCCCTGCACGCGCGGATACATAACGAGCACGACCCGTGAGTACACTACATTCATATAATGCGCCGCACGCCGCCGAGGCCCTGCACGCGCGGATACATAACGAGCACGACCCGTGAGTACACTACATTCATATAATGCGCCGCACGCCGCCGAGGCCCTGCACGCGCGGATACATAACGAGCACGACCCGTGAGTACACTACATTCATATAATGCGCCGCACGCCGCCGAGGCCCTGCACGCGCGGATACATAACGAGCACGACCCGTGAGTACACTACATTCATATAATGCGCCCCACGCCGCCGAGGCCCTGCACGCGCGGATACATAACGAGCACGACCCGTGAGTACACTACATTCATATAATGCGCCCACGCCGCCGAGGCCCTGCACGCGCGGATACATAACGAGCACGACCCGTGAGTACACTACATTCATATAATGCGCCGCACGCCGCCGAGGCCCTGCACGCGCGGATACATAACGAGCACGACCCGTGAGTACACTACATTCATATAATGCGCCGCACGCCGCCGAGGCCCTGCACGCGCGGATACATAACGAGCACGACCCGTGAGTACACTACATTCATATAATGCGCCCCACGCCGCCGAGGCCCTGCACGCGCGGATACATAACGAGCACGACCCGTGAGTACTCTCTTAATGTTTATAACATGTTGCAAGATGGAACAGTTGCATGTTGCGTGTAATATATGAACATATTCAAATGTTTATATTGACAACACGTTTCGATTGTTATTTATAATTCAAAAGCTTTGAATTCGCTGGGATTTTCTCCTATACAGCAGGCACACAGTAAAAAAAAGTCAAAATAATTTGTTTAAATTTAACCAGGAAGGCACTCTTCAACGTCAACTCAAAATATAGTTACATACGTTTATAGAAACAAATTTTGGGTCACACAAATGTTGGTTCAGGAATGAAAAGTTACACATATAGTTACTGTTGCATGTTACGTGGCTGTGATTGCAACGTTTTGTGATAACAATAGAACTGATGAGATATTTTTTTGTCACCGATAGAGGGTGCAAATAGAAACTATAATACTATACTATATTCATTATAATTAAAATTACATGGTAACTCTTAAAATCTAACTAACCTAAGATCGAATGCGTTCGATATAGGAACAACACTGCTTTCTTATCATAAAATTATCTATATATATAAAAGAAAGTCGTGTTAGTTACACTATTTATAACTCAAGAATGGCTTAATCGATTTGGATGAAAATTGGTGGGGAGGTAGCTTAGAACCAGGAGACGGACATAGGATACTTTTTACCCAATTCTTTTTTTTTACTTTTTACCGAAAATCAAGAACGGGAACGGGAAATATCGGGGTTGCGCGTACGAAGTCGCGGGCAGAAGCTAGTTTATTATAAAATTAGTATGAAGATTTCATTGAGGTTAAATCTAGCTGGGCACAAGGCGGCGACAAGAGGAGACGACTCAGCAGTTCGAATGTTGCAATACTCCGTAGAACCTTCGTTGCATCAAAGTTGGTGTAATGTCCTGATTCAGCAGATCTGGGCCTGGTGACACGGCGTTGATCACGGTGTAGGTACATGTTTCGGCACCGATACGTAACAGGTGTTCGTCCTTTGTTGTATATAAATAAATACACTAGTATACATCAGACAGAAGATGTATCATAGATCACATACAGCCTATAAATGCCCACTGCTGAGCAAAGCTTCTTCTCACACAGAGAAGGTTTGAGCATTAATCACCACATATACTCCTGTGTCCTCTTTTCTTCTGGTAGCAGGTGAAGTTCAAGCAAGGCATTCTGCTGATGTCTAACACATACAACTGGTCATTCCATTCTCCTTAAAATAGAACTCTATTTGATTGTAGAATGTACAGTCCTTTAGCACACTTATTCAATACATACAATTGTTTTAAAACAAAAACATACTTCGACATAACTAAACAATGAGTACAATTTTGTTATTATAACATTCCTACAATAAACAAACAAAATAATATTTACTTTTAAAAATAAATAATTCTATGTAATTCCTACTGTTTTTCTATTACACTATCTTTCTACGAGCAGCTTCACTTGGACAAAATTTATTTATATCTTCAATAAATCACTATTCTGTACGAATAACAGGATAAAAGGTAAATTATAGTTATTGAAAAATAAGGTCCAATTTCAGTGGCGAAATAATTTAAAATCTGTCTACCTACTACGAACGTATTCAACATAAACAAACAAATATTTACGCTTAATAATTTTACTGAATAGATTACTTAACAATTTCTATTATAGCATTGTGTTCTTTAGTTTAATAGTCCATATAAATCAACGACCATAAATAATTCACTTATTTACACTCAACTGACAGTATCGAGAAGTAGTTTATACTCGAAAAGTATAAAAAAAAACATATTTTAAATCTAAAAAATGGATCTTTTAACCATCATCTCCCTCGGTCTTAAAATTGCAGTTTTTTTCCTCGTATAAAATAAAACTTATAATTTTATGCCAAAATGTAAAATATATAAGTTTATAATTAATAATATAGTATCTATAAGTTTATAATCTATAAAAATACAGATTAAAAATGGTTGAATCTGACGTAACGCTTCGCAACAATTCGTCGCAGTCGGTTGACGGCGCGCGCGCAATCATGTGCTCTTATCAATCGTGTATAATTTTCAATTATTTTTCGTGATTAAATGTAGTTTAGAAATTAAAATTTTAAATATGTATTTATCGCTTCTAAAATCTATAACCGTGCCGCCATTTTCGTGGTGTTTCCCTAATACAGTGGATGACAGGTATGGGTGAGTGATATTGTTTTTTATTTATTAATTCTGTGTAATTATTTTTGGGTATACCATAGTGTTGTTTGTTTTTCTTTACATTTTATGTCACGTGTGTTTATTTCTAGTATCGTTCTAGATATGTGCCCGGTATATGGCAATAGGCGCACCCCCTATTACATGGGACTCATAACATAAATAGTGAAAAGTGGGTGTTACATTGTACAGTGGTATTAACTGCCGTAATGTGCACCTCTGCCTCTGCCAGAACTGAATATCAGATATATATTTTTTTAACATTGTAATATTATAAAATGTTTCTAGAAAAAACTGAATTTTCATGTGTCATTGCCTTGTCTATAGCTTGTATGTAGGTTTCCGTATATTCCTGAGAATAGGAGTAGAAATTGAGTAAATTGGATAAATGGATCTCAGTTAGTCGACGTACTAACACATAAATAGATTCTGTAACCGTAGAGTTCAAATCGTAGTTACAGTCATGATAAATTCAAATAAATATGAAATACTACCTTCTGCGAGCAGTGCTTGAGTTCTCGTGGGGTAAAAATGGCCTATTTGGTATTCTAGACTATAATCTGGTCGCGGAGAACCTAACGGGTAACCGGGGCTCCGGCTCGACGTGCAGGAGAAGGAACGGGGTGGTTTTTAGTCAGTAAGAGTCTGACACTCTCTTCCGCCTCACCCAGGCGGGAGCAGTAATTCGATGATTTTCCCCCCTTAAAAAAAAAGACTATAATCTGCCCTTGTTCCAAATTTCATCTTAATCGCGTCAGCCGTTTTGAATTGAAACAGTAACAAACATACACGAACATCCTCACAAACGTTCGCAATTATAATATTAGTAGGATAATAAGTATTATAATTCTCTACAAATTTAATAAGAATTGATTAAAGAAATAGATATTTACAAATATTTAAAACTAGCTTCTGCCCGCGACTGCGTACACGCAATCCCGTTCTTACCCGTTCCCGTTCGTGATTTTCCTGTGAAAAAGTATGCTATGTCCGTCTCCTGGTTCTAATCTACCTCCCCACCAATTGTCATCCAAATCGATGTAGCCGTTCTTGAGTTATAAATAGTGTAACTAACAAAACTTTCTTTTATATATATAGATTAGCACTCTTTTTTTATGGCATAAACCGGTAAACGGGCAGACGGATCACCTGATGGTAAGCAACCGGCGTCGCCCATGGACACCTGGAACACCAGAGGCGATAAGTGCGTTACCGGCCTTTTGGGGATTAGGAGTTTGAGGATCGTTTGGGATTCAGGAATTGGGCAGATTGAGATGGGGAGACTCTGTAGTTATTATCTCGTATCTCGTTATAAATCTGAAAACACTGCCTTACCTAAAAATCATACTGGAGACATCTTAAATACTCTGTACTTTTATGCACCGCTAGACCAATAACAGTGTTTGTTTTACAAAATGATACCAAGCATTTAAA